ATGCCTGCGCAGCGCCGTCCCTTTGGGCCTCCCACATCTCGTCCAGGCACCGGCTCCCAGCCCTGATGGAGCGCAGCAGGGCTTCCGCCTCTCCGCCATCGCGGGGCCCCAGATCAAGGACCTTGGCCTCGAACTGGCGCAGCTTGGAAGCTCTCCAGAGGCGCCCCGAGTCGCCTGCGGTACCCCAGGCCCACGCAAGTGTCGACCGCAGCGGAGATGGTGTTGTAACAGCATGCCATATACTGGGCAATCGATATGAACAATTCGCATCACGCAACACACGACGTACAACATACAAATATTGTTGTTGTATGTTTTCTGGCAGGCCACGGATATCTGGCATATGTCTTGGCGTAGCAAGGCCTGCGCTTGAAAATTCAGTAGAAACCGAGAAACATACCAAGGGAAGGGGAGGATGTGAGCATCAGCCACACATCGCCTTCAATCGGGCGAGAATGCTGCACACCAAGGCAGTCTGCGAAATACAAATAGCTGCCGGTGCGTCACGACAGCGTGAAGGCGCGCACTATTTAGGGCAGATTTAAATGTTTCCGAATTGGCGTAAGTGCATGGCATGAACCGTGCTGCAATGGTGTCAAATGGCGTAATAATATTTTCACTGGCGAGGACAATTCTCTCATGTGTTCCCATTGCGAAATGCTTCTTGGCAGTAAGAATTGATGGACTCCAAGCTTCACTTGTGTTGCAAATTAGATTTCAATGAACTGACAACGGACACTACTTCATCGTCACATCATATCAAGGCAACTGAATGGGCACTGCATCGTTTGGGCAAAATAAAGCTGACGGCTACCTCATTCCCTTTTTACGCAAGAATGGGTGATGTTAATAGGCTGCACAATTGATGTGTCCCACTGCATTCCAACATCTTGAGTATGGACCATTCTAAAGAAGTTTGACCGTCACGGCGATCTGAAAAGCTAGCAGAAATGTACACACACTGCACGGGGTTTATCAGCCTCGGCGCTCACCAAGCTGATGGTCAACTCCGCTCGCCATGACTTTTGAAGTTTTCCTGACTCCACCGAAGGCGAAATATCCGACGGAAAGAGGTGCAAAGATGTATGTATTTCAAAGAGACGGAGCATGAATGATGATTCTGCATGTGATACTGGCTTCTTGAACACTCCAATGCTTCTCTTTGATTTATTGTATAAATTTTATGCTATTTAACACTCAATGCTAGTAATGCACACTTCATGCATGAATAATGGAAGTAAGAATCCTGGAAGTAAACCTATGGTCACCATTCTTCCGGATTGAAAAGAGCATAACTGTTCTCTCACCTTTATGTGTCTTCTGTTATTTATGAATCTATTTCCCATCGCTGTGGTTTATGTTTCTGCATAGTGTGGACGTTCAAGCATTTTGAATGAGCGACATAATTTGGGTCATTGCGGCATCTTTTCCCCAGTACTGGGGGAAATGAAGTGTTGCGAAGGGTGCCGTCGCACCCACACACGCCCACGCATTGTCGATATAAGAGCAATGTGCTGCCGTGTGGCTGTCCATAGAGTACATTGCTTGTTGTGCGTTTCTGCTTTGCACGTGTTTTAATCCTGTAAATCATCTGCAGTGGGCTGGAAGAGTTGTTTGGGGGCATTGCGGATGGGAGCCATTCGTCTTTAGCTCAAGGCGGAAAATATAAAGGCACCCAAAGGGTACAGTTTAAGGCAACGTTTGTCCTAAATGGTATCAGAATATTATGAATAGCCAACGTGCTGCCATCGGTTTGCGGTTGCAATCAAATATTTCTGGTTCCATCAATTGACGCAGGCAGAAAATTTTTGCCATAGATAATGTCGCTGCTGGAACTAGCACCAAATTGAACTGTATATTAATGTCCCCAAAACTGCCAATTCCTTAGTAGTTTGCTGTTAAGATTCCGGTCCAGAATTTCTGAGCATATCAACCAGCAAATACTTATCATTTTCAGAAAATTTGCTCTTTTAAGGAGAAGAAAGTCGAAAAGCCCTAAAACATGTCGCGATGCACGGGTGATGAAGACGATGTCGTAGTTTGCTGGGAAGTGATACAAGTTGCTGATCATACATAATTGATAATGGATTCCGTGTCCTTAGCAGGGCTGGAAATGACTTGGACGCCAGATTGAGAGCGCTGAAAACGCTTACTACATCTCATAAGATACTGAAAAGGCGTAATTTTGCCAGATTTGGTACTTTACAGTACCCCATAAGACGGCACTGGAGACGCGCTGACATGGCTAGAGAATCCCAACAGCCCACCACATCGAGGTTTAGCTTCTACAACAACCTATTGTAGAGCCACGTATTGGCGGCAAGCGCAGTGGCATGGGCATCGCAGCCTCAGGCTCACTCTGCATCAACGCGGGTGCGTTCCTCCAACGCACCCCCTAAGCCTACCCACGGATAGAGCTGGAATAACTCTAGATATGCGTTCGCCATTCAATGCCGCAGCACTGACTATGGCAGTGGGCCCCCGGAACAGACCGTCATGCCAGACCTACAGAGATGAAGGGTGGGTCACCGCCATAGGTGCAGGCAGCATGTATGCATGATCCATTTAATTGCCAATACGTGAACGGAAGATGCCCGACGGTTAACGCATAAATAATTAAAAAAATAAACAGTTTCATTGGGTTTGTTGTGCTTTATTGAAAAGCAAACTCAATGAAACTCAATGCAGCATTCCCTCAAATGCACAACCAGAATGAAAGTACTCCAAAGCAACAAGTTCAAGAATCTACGTGTCTGCTCCGTAAAGGGTGGTGCATAAATCAGACCGTGAACTGTCATGAATTGCGATGTAAGTTCATTAGAATACGTTCCGTTACCTCAGTGACTTGGTATCTTGAAAAACCATAAGCATGAATCACCGCCCAAAAACTCTGCGGTTGCTTTTTCCTGTATTCCTTGTGCTCCTCAGAATAACATTCCATCAAGTTTTACGCATGATTATATGTTAAAATCCGATGACCAGTTCTTGTCACTGGTAGAAAACAGCATGTCTGCGATGCCAACTGCGATGCTATTTTGACACAAAATGATGCCGTCACAGTGATTGCGATGGCATAAAAGTGGCTGTGATGGCATCAATTCGTGTCAAATGGCATCGCTATTGGCATCGCAAACAGGCTGTTTTCTGCTGGTGTATCGAGTTGCGGGCCACGTTCATCGTCCCAATTTGCTTTCTGATGGGCCAAAACCCTCTTGTTCGCAACACCGCATAGTGACCACCATTTCACTGGGTGGATCACTTATGCATTATGGTGTGCGACTTGTATACACTTCAAGAATATGGTTTACAAGGCATTCTGAGTCCATAAAAAGAAAAGAAAAATGTGTTTTATCGTATGGCTGGTTTGTGGTGGATGATGGTCCTTGTCATGTGAAAAGAGGAGTTCTGTGGGTGCAAAGAGATTCGAATTGTTCGGTTGCGGGGGTCGTTGCCACTGTCGGCAAGGCTCTTCGTTGTGGGAAGGGTGAACAAATACGTAAGCACCGGGCGTTTTGTGTGTCGTGTGGCCCTGCGTCTGGCCGTGTGCCAACCCGCTGAAGCATCGGCAATCGTGGATTCGCACTTCCCGTGTGCACTCCAAAGGGGGCCGTTTGAATCGCATCAACGGCCATTCCTTCAAGACTCTCTGTATACCGTTCACTAATGTTTTTGCATGGTGCCAATAGTTTTGGGCATGTTCTCATCTCAGGGTCGTTGCCTCTTTACCTTTGTGAAATTCTATCTGCTGTCGATACCCATCCTGTGCATGTCTCCATGCTGCGCGTTATACTGTTTTGATCATGCCATTTCTTCAACACCTTCTCATTGCCTTGTTGCGACTGCATTCGTGGCATACTCGGGCCATCCTGCGCAGTGAGAGCATTAACAATGGCCCGTGCAGCGTCCAGTCCAGTACCAAAACGAAGAAGTGGGATACATGTGGTAACTAGAACTGGTTGAGCAATGTTAACAGCTGGACGCATAAAGAAGTGACGAGGCATTAGGAATTGCATGAAGGACATTGATGAACGGACTGGATGTAAGGGACAGAACTCCTGCTGTCCCCTTGCACGGCTGTAAACCGTTGCCGTGTACTCGAGCCTACGGCTCCCGTTCAGGGGGCGCCATTTCGACCCTGCCTGCCTTCGTCAGCGTCCACAAAGCCGGTCATTATGCAACAAATCGAACAAGCACCAATCCGAGCCCGACAAGTGGACGCCTGCCCACAGTCACCAAGGCGCCAGGTGCAGAGAAGAGGACCCCGCAACTTGTGCCTCCAAGCGCCGGAACGAAGATGGCAATGCAGACGCGTTTCCTCTCCAAAGAGTTCCTCTTTTACTATGCGGTATGGTTACGAAACGTTGCGGGCATCCCCGCCGTCTCGATTCGCAAAGAAACCGCCCGTTGCTGCGCCTCCTGCCACAATTGAAAGCCTAGCGGTCAGTTATTTGGCTAGCCCTGCCAGCCTCATTGGCATGCTCCTGATCTGTACGCGATGCGCTGATGCTGTCGGGAAATGCATTCCCAGGTTGGGGGTGATCAGGCAGGCTGCCGAACGAAATTTTGCCCTTGTTGGGTGCCGCCTCTGTCGTGCTGGCGGACTTGTGAATCGTCTTTTACAGCCTGGGGAAGTTCAAATCCTTTGATTACCTTTGTCACATAAACATGACAAAACATGGCCCTTGCACCTTGGAGGCGATGTTGCGCATGAATCCCAGACCAATGTTGATCGTATCAACGCCAGGGGAAGTATTGCACACAGAGATCCTTCCTGGGAGGAAGTTGTGAATTGCATTGGCAACCTTCCTTTCTGTCATGAATATAGTCTTTGGACCATTGGAATGCCCTCAGCAAGGAGAATTCTTGAACACAGAAAGGAAAGAACGAGCAACCCCATCTCAGCATAGCCATCTATATCCAAACCACTCCCAGCTCAAGGCCAACATCTGTCTCCCACCACCTGATGGCCTTGTCGCCCTTACTTTGCTCTCGCCATGCAGATAATCGCCCGCTGCCTGTGGGCATTGGCGGCTACAGGATACCGGCTTTCAGCGCATTTTGACAGTGGAGTCAGCGTGGTGGGAAGATCCAGTCTGCAGGATGGCTGGCTATATGGTCGGAGGGTGGACCTGTCGGATGGGCAGTGGAAGGAATTCAGGCAGAGCATGCCAGCCTTGGCTCTTGTGATGGGGGCATTCGTTGCAATTTCAAGACTGGTGGGGAGATGGAAGATGGGCTCTATATATTCATTGCCAGAATAGGACGATGCACTCTCCCTGGGCATACAAAGCAACGATGAGCATGACTCCGTCCGCACGTTCTTGTTTGTAGTGTATTGTGTGATGCGTGTGATGGATGTTTTTCTCTTCCAAATGTAGGATGATGTTCTCTTCCAAAAGTATCATTGTGGAAGCTGGGGTAGGGTCCATCTATGAGAATGTCCCCAGCCTCGTGCCAGCTGCAATCTTGGTTATGGATCTGATTCTACCCTCCCTTCTGTTGATCCTTGTGAGTGATAAGTTTCACATCGACGGCATTTATGTGTGCATTTTGCCTGCTCCATGCTTCCCACTCTCTTACATGTCCTTCTTGGCAGGGTGGGAATTGGACAGAGACATGGGCTGAATGGCAATCACCAGTATCAATGTTCTTTGTCAAAACATAAAGCTACGCCCATCAACTTACTGTGGCTCATGGAGGCTATATTGGGCTCGGGTTGGGGATATAGTACATCTAATGCATTGGGGGATGACACAGGGGAAGTGACAACACTCTTTTGTACCATGCTGGCATATATGTATTCATGATTGACAGCTCTGCTCTTATCCTTTTCCTGCAGCTCCAGAGCACCAGGCCCACCTCCCGAGTGCTATTCTACATCGTTGCATCTGTGATCTTTGCAGGTACGCATGAGTCCTTTCGTTGCATCCAGGTTGTTGTGTCTAACACAGATCATGTTTACACAGTCTTTGCAGATTTCAGTAGCAGAAGCAGCAGCTGAGCAGCTTGTGATAATTTTGATCGCAGGGTACTTGCATGGTGCATGCATTGTTCATGTTGGGGTACTCCTGGGTGTCAACTTCTTGGTTGTGCGTTCGGCCGCCGGAAGTTTTGCTGGGTAAGCAGGAGCTTTTCTGACGGCATTCCATTGCTCATAGTGTGTGGTTCTTGAGAATGACTGAGTAGACCTTGCCGGCTGGGTTGCGCCAAGCTTCTTAGGCTGCCGTCTGCATCAGGTTGTTGCACACATCCACATCACCAAACAGAGCTGAGTCCATCGAAGGGGCTTTCAGGGTGGGGATCCACCAGCATCAGTTCGTTTTGGTATGCATAGTGTGACATTATAATGTTCATTAAGGTTTTTTGTTTGAGTAACAGCTGCTTGTCGAATGGTGCATGGCGCCGAGCTTTCCTATATCTTACAGTATGCTGCAATGCTCCTGTTGGCAGGCCTGCCACAATTTGGGCATTCAACATCGCTGCTCTGATTTGCGCTCGCTGGTTTGAAGGCGTGCCTTTTGCATCAGTCAGGTATGGTCAAACACTCGTGTCCCAGACCTTTGTGCAGCAATACACCTTTTACAAGTCCCATCACAGACTCTCCACTTCACTGTGTCGTTTGCAGCCCTCTCCTGGCCGTCTTGGATTCTCACCGTGGCGTGCTACGTTGGCACATATCATACAACTTGACAGCTCTACGCATGATATCGTTTGGGCTTGACTACCACTGGATGAGAACTGGCAGGAAGCACCAGACTGTTCGCAGTACCGATGCTGCTGGCCCACCTGATCCGCACAAGGCAGTCAGGGTAAATACACTGTGCCTTTGTGCTTTCTTCTGCTGGAGGCTGCAGCAACTGCTGCAATAGCTGTGCATGAGTTTTGAATGCATACTTTTTGTCTGCAGAGTCATTGCCTGGCAACTGGGACTTGGCCAAGAGTATTGAATGCACATCAATGGAATCATGATCGAAAGGCAGCGACCAATAGTGCGCACAAACCGCACCTTGGATGACATGCTGCGGCGGTATATTGGGGTTGTACATACTGATTGGGATCGCCTCCTCTCGTGCGCTGAGTTCGCCATCAACAATGCGAAACAAGAGAATACAGGTTTTTCCCCCTTCTTTCTCAATTATGGGCGCCACCCTCAGACCCCTTTTTCTCAAAACTATAGGGGCAGGATATTATCTGCAGATGCCATGCAAAGAGGGCAGATACTAAGATAGTTTTTGCAACTACATGGGTTGCGATTTTGCAGAGGGCCTGGAAGGGTCAGTTCTCTTTGAGCGCTGACACTGCTGTCCTTTCCCAGCCAGTCTCGTGCTGATGCCCAACTGGACCCAAGCTGCTTTGGACTGCCTGTCTATCTGGCCTATGCCCTTTACCCGCCACTCTACATTGCTGGGCCGATTTCCTCCTTCAACAATTTTGCTCACCAGATTTACCACCCAGATAGCCCTTCCTTGACAAAGGTAAGCAAGGCTAACGTGCTGTTTACTGGCTATTCTGGCCCAATGGTTGCCACATGTGTTCTTGCAGCCTGTTGGCATCTGTGGGATGTGAGCATTGGGAGGGAGGATGAGAAGCTTTCTTGCCGCATGAAGTCGCTGTAGTTTCGACTTCAATTGTGGGTCCTCGCAGTTATCTGCAAACAGAAAACCACACTAGTTTCAGCCCCAAATGCCTCCCTTCTTCCTCATCTGTGGCCAAAACGGCCTTCACCTGCAAGGATAACGATAGCCTCTGCAAGGAATACTGCCATTGGCCATTGATGGTCCTGTTCTGCCTGCAGTGAGTAAAGAAGGGTAGCCAAAGCTTATGACATTGATGCAGATTTTTTGCCAACACAGCACTGGCTGGCGGGACTTGTGCAATTCCATACTTTTCCTGTCATCTGTTGACAAAACACTATCAAAACACATTTTAAGCAAAATGGGCAATTTTGTCTGTGATTCTGGAATGCCCATATCTGCCACTCACATCCACACTGCGAAGAGAACAAGTGATAGGCCAAATGCCGTAATAATAAAGGCAGTTGGGCCATCCTGAATCGGCATTGTTGCTATCTTGTCTGCCAGCAATCTGCGTGCATTTGGCAGCTTGATCGGATACCTAACTCGATCTTTGCAGTCATCTGGCCCTCCTGAGGGCAATGCGAGACACACTGATGCTGACATCTTTTGTTGTGTAATGTGCTGATATCGTACCAACTGCTGCTTGCACACCAGCCGTCTCAGTCCTTGAGACCCCTCCACTGTGGCTCTGGGATCAATATGTTGGCCCTGAAGAGCTGTTCAAGGACAGCGTGTAATCTTCACTTTGCTGTTTGTTGTCGTTTACATTCATGCCATAATGATGTCATGGATCAGCTTGGCTTATTTTCAGAATTTACCCATGTGTGTTTTTTGGCAGTTCAAGTGCCCCGAATTAATGTTGTGTGGTGGCTAGGTCTGTCACTATGGGTTGAGGCTGCTTGGATGCCTGCTGGCCTTGGAGGTCCTCACTCACACTATTTATGCAAATGCCATTGCAAAGTACAGGCTATGGCACCAACTCCAGCTCTGGGGCGCTGCACGCTTCAGCCCCTTGGACCTTAGCACCATCGGATTTTGGGTCTTGATGTTCATGTGGCTGAAGGTGGGCTTGGATCATGGCACCTCTGCGTTGAATGCTTGCCGTTATGTCTTCTGCAGATTCAGTTGAACTATCAGGTACTTCAGTTCCCTGTTTCGACCCTGGTGTTGTGCTGTTTCATTGGCATGCAGGACTTGCCGACACAGACGTTGCTTGAGTGTTGGTGCAGGTGAACGCACACTGCACTAGTTCGCGTTGAATGAAAAGCGGATGTGGAGGTGGTGGCCGCCTCGTTTCAGCGCTGTCTGACCTGAAGTTGCTATGAGGGAGATGCACCTGTGTTGAAGTTTTGAATGTTGCGCCCCACCTTGTTGCTGCGAAGGACGCATTGTTTTCATCAAAACACATGTGACAGCCATTTGTTTGTTGTTGCTTGAACAGTTCCTGGTGATCTGGCGTTTCTTTCGCCTGTGGTCCCTGGCAGACGGCATCGACGCACCAGAGAACATGACGCGGTGCCTGTGCAACAACTACGACATTGAGGTAATGGGCGCCTTGGTGTGCAGCAAGGAATTTCAATTCTATCCTCCATGGCATGGAAAGAATTTCACAAACTTTTTGCTTGGGGAGGATGGCCAAGTCACATCGAACGTCTTTTTGTTGCAACAACTATTCCACCATAGTTCGCCGTGCAATACTACCTAGATTGTTTCTTTCGTACTTGTCAAAACACCCAGGATGTCAGCCAATCACGTTATGTGGGTGCAGAGCAATTTTGCTGTCGCAGGAAGGATCCAATTGGTGAATGAAATCCAGAACTGCATCGCGATCACAAAGTCGAAGCATTTGTGTGTCATGCGTGTTCACTCCAGGCCATGTGGATGCGCTCTTGCAGTGACGCTGTTGAGGCGTGCCTTCATTATTTGGAATCTAAACCTTGCCATTAACAGGTGGATGTTCTTCGATGGCTAAGTCATTGCCACAATCCAACCGTTTCATGCATGTGTGCAGCTGTGGCGCGTCCATTTCCCACCTCAATTTCTAACTGCCTGCTGGTGAACTACATGGAAAGCAGGGATTCTGGAAGAACTGGCACGCTTCGTACAACTTGTGGCTGGTTCGATACATTTACATACCATTGGGCGGTGCACGATGGCGGGCGTTGAACGTGTGGGCCATATTTACATTCGTGGGGCTTTGGCACGATCTCGAGTGGAAATTGGTGTCCTGGGCATGGATAATGTGCCTGTTCATCGGTGCAGAGATGGTAAGGTGGACGGCGTTATCAACAGTTTGGCGAAAATGGCTGCGCTACCATTTTGCTCGATTTTGCACGAGCGCATAATCGCAATGTATGAAGTGGGAGAGCAATGAAATGTGTCTGCCGGTGATGGCTGACATCGACATGTGCTCCCCATGTACGTGCCCGGCAGTGCTACTTCCCGCAGCAAGATTGCGATTAAACGGTCACTTTGCAGCCACTTGGCATTGGGCCACGGTGCTGAGTCAGCTCCATGGGGAAAAGGCGGCCTGAGGGGCACCTCAGAACTGCTGAGCCCGTCTGCTGGCTAACTGTGCACAGCTGTCTTCTATTTGTTTGTTGTTCACAGTGCAATTGGGACAACCTGCATATTGTTGCGATCGATTGCGGTGGTAGCCTATTAATTGCCACAGCCTAGTTGCCGCTCCGTCTCAGGCATGGCTGCAATGCTTTGCTGGGGTGATGTCAAGGGGTGCACTGCTTTCATGGCACCACATCTCTTTGCACAATGTGTTGACATGCGTGGGCTCTCTCAATGTGTTCAATTCCACGTAAGATGCCAATCGTTTTCGATGAATGCACTGTGGATGACCATGACCTGGTGGCATGATCGACTTATGAGCAGCCGGGGCTCACAGTCCACCTTGGATCTGTGAAGGACATACTTCCTTCACAGCTTTAGCCAGCACGGTGGCACGCCAGGAACACCAAAACTTTTGGCTTTTGAAACCTGCCACCAACATACCAAGCTTGCAGTTCGTCGCTGTGCTGTGATGCAATCCTTTACCGGCATTATTCGACTTGTTGCAGCTCGTACATGCGCGTTGATTGAAGTATGCAGCAGTCCGTGTACGTGTGCGCCGTGTGAACGGAGTTGCCATGGCAAGAAGGTTGACCGTTTTGTTCGTTGCAGGCTGCCAAATTGCTGTCCAAACACAGGGCCATGGCTCCCCTGAAGCGCAACGGGTGGTTCCGGCATCTGGCTGCGGTGGTGGCCTGCTCCAATGTGCTTGCATTGATGACGGCAAACATGGTGAGGGAACGTCGTTCACACTGTAGCGTGGCGAGTTTTCACATTGGTTTGTGCTACAAGGCGGGCCCATTGCATGATTTGTGTTGGTAGACGCAGCAATCATGGCGATGAACATATTGCCCTTTAGTGGCCAGTACCTTGACGGCTGTGCATCAGCAGCGACCCTAATTGTCCATATCGGCAGGTGTGGCTGGCGCCGGTTGGAAGGTGCTCATGCGCATAGCCATCTTCAGCCGGTCCTGTGCTTGTTTCGTGGATGGTCTGCTCCCCGCCGCCACCAGCGTAGAGTACGTCACTGGATGTCCTTGCTGATGGTCGCAATTGCCTTGGGGCCCTTCGCTGTTGGAGTTCCTAATCAGCTGGACCTTTATAAATCCGTCAAGGGGTGAAGCCACGTCAATTCTGGCGCGCTGAATATAGAGTTTACGAGAGAAAATGGGGCTGTGACGATAAGAAACTACATGGTTGCTACGAATCGACACATAAGCAGGCCCTTAGCCCCCTGAGTTGTTCGACAACCTCCCTCAAGCATTCAACCTCCAAGGAGTTACCGAAAATGTGTCAATTGATGCCATCTGCGGCAGGCCACATCGCCTGCCATTGCTTCCAGCATATGCCATATTTCAACACTCCATAAGCTCTGCAGTGCTGGCTGTTTGCCTTCCTTGAGGAAGTCATCGCGTTCCTCACAGGTTGTCGGCGCTCCCTCTCCTGTGCTGAAGTGTTTCACCTTGGTATTGGGAAATGTTGGTGAGCGATGCCGCCAGCAACAGAAGGACGCACTCAAGTACATGGTGTCAAATATTATATGGGGCCCGTGACCCTGTACCCGGCCCGGGTACCCGGGTTTCAGGGTGCCCGGGTGTCATCCCCAATGTGAGCCTGAGATTGGCGTCAATTCGGTGCTGAGCGTAGCCAACTTGACAATGTGTCAACCCTAATGTTCTGTAATTTCCATGTTTCTGCCACTGCCTTTGCACTCGCTACACATACCCCACTCCTGCCTTTTCCTCCACATGACAGCACGCACCCAGCCTCGGCGTTTGGAACAATACTCAAGCGCAAATTTCCTTCCTCAACAGCGGGTCTGGAGGCAAGGCCATTACACCATTTCACCAGTCACTTGCGCGCAGTATGCACTGGGGCACAGGCATTCAATCCCTGGCATTGTGGCATTGCGTCAGCTCGAAGTTGAAATTACAAATGACGGAAGAGCGCCAACTCTTTTGGGTGCAGGTGGGATTCGTCCTGGGTGTGGATGGCATATCGGACTACCTGCATGGCATCTTTTCTGACGTCAAGTCCGTCTGCATCATTTTTGCCGCCATCTTCTCGACAGTTCAAGTCATGTTCGAAATGAGGGAGTATGAGCTGCACGAGCAGCGTAGAGTTTGCCCCGTAGCATAGATCCTTGGCGATCCATCGCCACAGCTTTGAAGCTGCAAAGCCAGGAAGTAGGACGCAGTCCCCAGGTTTGAACTCTTCAAAGGAAAATGTTTAAAGTGAAATCTTACCCCAGTCTGAAATTCCTGTGTTGCCCGCATGCACAAACTGCCAGACGATCGCTGGCGCCACTGGTCAGTCACTGCCCAGCGTATTAAAGCTCTGGCGGTTGCGTGTTTCTGCGTCGAACGCATTGAGGGTTTTCTCTGGCGTGCGTGTTGGCGGAGGCGCCAGAAGCGCCGACGTTGTAGCACACATCCACGGCGGATCCATTCCGCTGACTCATGGGCTGCATAATGTGGTGATGAGTCAAGCTGAATGAAGAAAGAACTTGTGCAGATTCGCAACACAGTGCAGGCAGCAACCGCACAAGCACTGCATGCCAGTTGATGTGTTGGCAGAATCCCACACCTGTCTGTAGGCCGGTTGCTGTTCAGGAGACTTGAGAAATGCCATAAGGCGCTCACTGTAGTTCCAAAGGAAGGACGTGTGGAACAGCCACCGCTGTTCGGAGACTGCCCGGGCATTGCCCCCAAACTTCAGAGATCCAAAGACATAATCTACAGAGGAATTAACAACAGGAGCATAAGCAGGGATGTGCAGATAACCCAACAGATTCACAATCTTCACAAGCGCACTGCTTGAGCGATGCGTCTTCACTGCAACTCTTGTGTTCTGCCACCCTCGACATGAGAATTCTGAGATATCTGTTAGCGAAAGCCCCATCCCACCAGGCCACACCCACACACCAGGGGCTCAACACGTCGAGCTCCATCCGCTTCGGACAGGGCCCTGCGAAGCTGGAATTTGATTGAAGATGATGAGGTGTAAATGTACATTTTGTGGAAAGATTACTCAGCTACAGGCAAAATCCATTTAAACATTATCATGCAGGATCGTGCAGTTTGCGCGCCGCAGCTCCATGCCAGGTTGCCATGCCCTGTTGCTACCTGCGCGCATGCTAAGTTTGAATACACGAACATTGGGAACCTTGACTTGTGCGTATACAAGTGCTTGCCGGACTGATTTAGAAGTAGAGCAGCTCGGTGCCAGCTAGGAAATAATTGGGAGGAACTGTTGGGCTCAATGCTGGAAAATCACAGTCAAATTGTACAAGTGTAGAGGTGTTCGACTGACAATAAGCTGGCCGCATTGTCGCCCCGCAAAGGAAGCCGTGTGAGCTGGTTTACCTTCCGAATTCGGCATTCCCCTTGGCAGCCGACCCGTACGAGACCTGCGCGGTGGCCACTGGAGGCGGCTACTACACTACTGGCTTTTGCTTCTGGTAATTTTCGCAATTTCTAGTCGCCCAGGAATATGAAGTGTGCGGCGCATATTCGCTGACCCAGTTCCGACACTCCGACCCAGCCAAGGGTCTCTGCCACCCACCGCGCCCACGCTGCTGTAGCTTCCGCCCACGTAATTTGACGCACGCCGCAGCCTACCCTACACTTCGAGCGGACGGAGGCACGCATGGCTTGTGTTGCCTTAACATGCGCACCGTGTTTTTTCAGAGTTATAGTGCGTGTAGTGAAACGTGCGCCAACTTTTGCGTCTCTTTGAAGAAGAATGCGCCCCCTGGGCCCAAGACATTTCTTGAGCTCTGCGTGCCCACTTACAGTACGCTCCTATTATCAGTCATTTTTTGGCATCCGTCAGATTGTGATTCTCGGACTCAAGCACAATCCCTGTTCTATCATAACACTTCGCAAGCTTTCTTTGCATCTTGCAGTCGTGGCTAGGCTTCACCAGTGCTTCCCTGCATTCTGCATCGCTGTGGCAAATGAGGTCATGTTTCATTTACGAATTTGCCGGTACAAGTGTATTCAAGAACAACTGAAGACGAGCATTGCAGGCTCAACCAAAATATAAAAGGTGTAAATGTCCAAGACTCAGAAGAATGTAGAAATGATATGTTTGTTATTTTAATTTGGTCTTAGTTTAAAAATTCAAAACAACAAACCGTTTGTCGCTTCACCTCAGATAGTTTTGTTGTTCACAGCTGGGCTGTATTGAAAGATGATTTAATTTACCTGAGTGAGGCGAATTGAACGATACAAGCTTGTATGAGTTTAAGCTCAGGGGGTAGTTGCCTCCGAGCTTGGTAAATTCCATCAAACTGGAGTAAGTTATTCTTGATTGTATGTACCATCTATTTGCTGCAAGTTGCTACACCTAATTGCATCTCCATGCCATTTACGACGCGCATTGGCATAAGTTATTCATCTTTCCACTTTAGCGTCGTCTGTGCACACATGAAAATATGCGGACATATCTGTGCTTGAGGTTGAATTTTAGAAGTACATGTGTTTACGCAAGTCGCAAACCAAATCTTCCATCGACGAAACAGCCCAATCCAGGATCAATTCCGTTCCTCCCTCTCAGTGTGCTTCGACTTCTTGCCTCGTTGGTTTAGCTTCTTTTACACCTTCGACAGCAGGCTACACCTCGCTGGGGGCTGCTGTTGCCGCTTTCCTATTGTTGATTGTAGACATCACTTCGATAGTGGAGATTTTGGCATTTACACATAGGAAAATATTGCCGCTTCATACGTCTCAGTTTCCATCCAAAACCCGTTAAATTAACAGCGATGATCCAAATGGCCCATGAAAAATGAGAGGCATTGGAGCACCCCCGCGCCTGGATGGACGGGCTGGGAAGCCGAGAGGCAGAGGGTCAATGGGGTTTACAAAAAAGTGAGAAAAAAACGTGGCCGGGGTCAGCCAGCTTGAGGGGGTGTGTCCGAGGATGTGGGCAGAGAGGGTGCCTCCCTCTGGTCGGACAAGTGAAGGAGGCGGCAGGTAGGGCCCGTAGAATTTAGGAGGGGGACACACCTCCAAAAACCAGAAAAGAGGACTATATTTGCTGTCCGCAGGGGTGTTCCGCCCGTGGGAGCGGCCGCAGGGTTGGATTCATGCGCAGAAGGGGGCTAGAGCCCATTGAGGGGCGAAATGCATTTGGATGCGGATATTTTGGCCACAGGCCGAGGTCCCGTTCCACCCACGTGGGTGGGGCACAGGAGATGTTGGATGCAAGATATGTATCCAGGGACCTCCCAAGGGCCAGGGGCAGCTACGTGCCACAGGCCATCTCAGGGGGCCAGGCTCACAGACGTATTTTTGCCAAAGAAACACGTGGGGCGACGCCTGGGTATGCAGCGGCGCAGCCGGTCTGTTGGCATTAGTTGGTAGCCCCCTTTTCACGCACTCATAATCACAGTAGTTGATATGTCACGAGAGGCGATATTAACCAGCTTCGTGTGTGTGCTCTAAAGGCAGCGCTCTCCGCTATTTTTGCAGCTGTTTGTATGGTGTGGCTGAGGTGCATGGCAGGCCAACACGCCGAGTCGAAAGCCGCCTCTCCAAGCGCAGAAAGAAGCCGGTGTGTCGGTTTCGGAACAAGTTGCATCAACGCTGATGTAGTGCGCCCTCTCCAAATAGCAGCCCCAGTGCCCAGCTTTGGCCGGCATCATGTGCAATTGTAGGAAGCCGCAGCATCAGAAGAATCACCGTGCTCGAACGTTAAATTTCCCACGCCCTGAGCCACATGCTAAATGCCGAGCGAGATATGGAATTTCCACGATGCGGCGCCCATATCAGGGGCTGGCTACGCACCGTATCAAAGGTATCCCCATTTTCACTTGTGGTGCCAAGTGGTATGCCGGCCCAGGAAGCCAAAGCATGCAGTAGCTCAAGGTTGCGCACCGGCCAGTCCACTGCCCACACACACAGCTCTAGTTTGCAGTTTTCTGGGTGCGATCGTTCAGGGAGGGGGCATTGATTGGGTGTGTTTTACCAAGACTCAAGAACCATGACCGGCAAGGCACAAGGGATAATTGGGCTTGGTGGTTCCTAGCCACGCACTCAGCAAAAGCAGCAAACAGTTGAGGCCTCCAACCGCCGCTCTGGTATTGGGCACATTGAACGCACAATTTCGTTGCAAACTTCTCCACTCGTGTAGCGCTGCATTGGCCACAGGGATGGTCCGGCATGAGAATACATAATTGCAATGCTCCTTGATGCGTGTTTCCGCGTTACCCTGGACGAGGCGCTGATGTTTGGGTGGTGACGGCCGCGGGATGCCACTAAAATTCTAGCTCCTTGCGCTTCATTGATGGCCCCAAGGAAACTATGCTACAGGTTGGAGCTCGGCCCATCGTACAGAGGAATATATTCTTACCTGTACCAGCGGGGCTGGTGCGCACTGGACGCCTGATCCAACCCAGAAACATTTTGGAAGCATGTCGTGAAGCCCTCGGCACCCTTGATACAAGGGAAACAGAAATACTGATATGATTGGATGATCCAGGATGGCCGCAACACAGCAAAAGCGACGCTTTGCCGCGTTGACACCCCAAACGCGCAGCATGGAGGTAGTGAAGGTGTGAAGCAGTGATGCGAAATTCGGAACACTGCGTCCGGTCAACTCCGGTGACGCATAGTTTAGGCCACTTTGTCGTCGCGCAATTCCCTAATGCCACACTTCCACATCTTCACAGCAGCATGAACACATTTTCATAATGCACCCCAGCCAAAGACGGCATCTGCATCCATGGGCTATCCCACGCTGAAACAGTCCCAGTTCCCCATTTGGTGTGGAGAAGGCTATCACACGTGTCCCTGGTTTTTAGTGAAACCTGCTTTCCGTGCACTGCGTGTTTCAATCCCTTTGCGTCACTTGTTGAGAACAGTATCTGGAGCGAGTTGACATTTTCCACTGCCGATCCTGCCCCAACGTCGACGTCGCCACCAAGCAGCCTTGATGACATCGCCGCGTCCGGCTAGACAGCTCTGCATTTTTGCTTCCACATCATTTTTCGGTTTGGACGCACTTCTCGACTCATTGGAAATTCCGGCGACTGTAACTCATTTGTGCAAGGGGCATCCAACCTGATTCATATTGCAGCGCAGAAATCTCCTGAAGATGCGCAGTACAGCGAAACCACCACCGGCATCCAGCGGCCGGTCGTCCTTCCATGCTAAGAACGCCCTGGAGGCCAACGCGAATGGATTCTGTGGACAACGCAAGATAATTGCCACCAGACCTCTCCAAAAAACAACATCCCTCCCTGTACCCGATCCACTGAAACTCTTGAGTCCACGGGGAGGTCGACAGTCGATCAGAGTCGATCTGCGACACCCTGAGCGCGTGCACTGCCCAGCGGCGGTGCATGGCGGTCGCGAGTGCAGCGCGTCTAAGCGGACGCCTCCGCGTTCGATCGCTGCTCCAGCTTCTGCTGCTGCTCGGCCTTCCACCTGTGCCTCAGCCTCAGGGACACTCCCGGACTGGGTGCCCGCCACAGGAGGCCCGCCGCCCACGCTCGCGCAAACTCCGGAAGGAAGGGCAGCGCCGTCCACACAAGCTGCCCTCGGAAGCGCAGCGGGGCCACCTGCAGGAGCGCAAGGCCCATCACCACGCACTCAACCGCCGACAGCCGCCAAGAAAGGTACCCTCCCCACAGCCAGTCGTCGAGGGAGAAGAAGGCCCTGAAGAAGCTGCGGAGGCCCTGGGGGTCCAGCTCGCACAGTATCTGCATGCCGAGGTTCATGAAGCCCCACTGGCGCTGCTCGTCCGTGGGCCAAGCGGCCGCCCACCCCTTTCTGGACAGGAGCGCCAAATCAACCTTTTGGCCCTGGAACACACAGCACGAGTGTCGATGAGCAGTGTCAGGACTTAACATCGCCGCTGCATTGTTGCAGCCGAAATTGCAACCTTTTTGCTTGGGTTTGGTGTGCATTAAGTTCTAAAGAAGCCACGAATTCAAGAAAATGGCCACGTAGAGTCACAACGGTAATTTTGAAACTGGGGCAAGCTTGTCAACAGTGACGGTGAAGACTGTCGCGGCGCTGCTGCACACGCGATCGACCGAGCTTGGCATTGCTGTGAGGTGGATCAATCCAGAGAGCTGGCTCAATGCTCTGCTTGGCATCTGCTCCACATCGGCATTGATGCTGTGCAGTGGTGCGAGGTCGCTGCAGTAGTGCACAAGACAGGTGAAGAACATTTGAAGGCCGCCGATCTGCCTCCCACAGCAAGGACTGACACTTTGAAGCAACAGCAGCAGCTGTGATGCCATGTGTTGGTGGTTCGCTGGTAAAACTGAGTCTGATGGGCAGCAACGAATGCTAAAAGACTGTGGACACAACTGTGGACACACAGCCAAAGGACTTCAGCCTGCTTTAGTGACTCCCAGATCAGCCAAGGAGCTACACAATGAAGTCGAACCTGGAGCCCCAATTATAGAGGGGGGCACGGGAGCTGATGTTGTTGGGAAAGCTTCATGCACTTCGCAGGTGCTGCTTCTGGGAGTTCATTGTGTTTCAGTCCAGCCAGGACAACAGTGCAAGACATTAACTAGATGCATCTCCTTCCAGGCAAGTGAGCTATGTATTGCTTAGTAAGGGAACAAGCCGATCTGCACAAGCTCTTGGCATGCTTCAGTTCCGTCCTTGCTCTTTTGCTCACCCTGTGTGCCTTCAGATATGGGGCTACTGCGCTGACAATGGAAGGGGCAGTTTCGAGCGCTCTGGCAATCATGTATCCAGTCGAAGGGTGGACCATGCCCGCAGCTCCCCCCACCCCCACGACATTTTGAGGAATCACAGGCAGTTGCCCGCCCATTGGTATCATTGCACGTTCCTCCTCCAGCACACGCGTCACCTACTGCAGAAAGAAACCCATTCGATTCTTTAATTTGGTTGGAATCCATGCAGTTGACGAGTCAGCTCAGTTGCGCGCCTGGCAATTGAGCAAGGCAACAATTGATGCTCGTGGTCAGGTACACACAAATGAATAGTCTCTTAATGAACTGTCCATTAATTCGCGTTCTCCAAAGATTGGTCCAGTATCATAGGCTCCAACATGCGCCAAGCAGAATGGATGCCTGTGGTTTACTCCAAATGAATGATCAATTCACAGTTTCTGCTTCAAAAAGCTGGCAAATATTAAGAGAAGAAGTGCAATGTAGGTCAGCAGCATTGCCAGAATACTACAGTGCGGACGAGCTGGTCACAACCTTCTCCAAGGGACTCAGGCTGGCCATTGTCAGCAGCCATCACTGCAGCTATAGTTCAGCACTGGACAATGTGCAACACTCGCTCAGCATCCCTACCCATGGCATGTACCTTAATCCCCTGTGCCCCAAGCCTCTCTTTTAGCCGTGCTCTCAGATCTTCGGATCTCACTGCTGGTCGATCCACTAAGCTGGTTTCTTCTAGGAACACAGATGTGGGAGTGAATGGCATCATGTACAAGAATGAAGGCTCAGCATGATTCTGCCTGAACAGCTCTGGCGACAGGTGGCTGTCGCTCCAGTCCATCAGTACCATGTGATCCAAGGGCAGATCATGTGCCTCCACTTCTGCAAGGATTCCGTAGGTCACCTGAGAGACAGCATTTTGATGCACCATATTCACATGCAAGAACAATGAAGTTCAGCGATGGACCTCTTATGAATAGATTTGTTGCACATGGCTTGCAAGTACTGTCACCATTATAGGGATAACCACACAGCAAGTGCACTGTGCTCCCACAACGCACTGCCTTGAGCAAGTGCACTATGCTCCCATAACGCACTGCCTTGAGCTCTTTCTTCCTCACATTGAACCAACCAAAACAGTGGAAAGAAAATCACAGTACACCAATAAAAGCAAAAAAGAATTCAAATTAAGAACCACTTTCTCAGTGTCGAACTGCATGTGCACTAAAAAGCACACATTCACATTATCGATCTCTTCCAGCTAACATCACTCTGCACTTTCTTTATGACACGGTGCAATGCCCACTTGTTGTCTGCTAGAATGGGGTGGATGCAAGATGCACACATGTGATACAATGTTGTGGAACGAAAAGAGAAAAGGACAACACACATAATGCAAGTGTATCATCCCACCACATGGATCGGCCATTGAAGCAAAACGCGTGCCTGCCATAATGCTTAAGGGGCAAATTGGCAAATTCTACCTGTCGAATCGAGGCAACGTTCTTTTCCAGCTCCTATGGGCAATCAGGTTTCGGACTCCACTTTGTGTCCAGGATGGCTAGCCACAAATGGTTGTGGATGATACTTGGGATTGTACTGCCTTGGACAGTAACACAGCACACTCTAGTGTTCAAGTGCCAGCATATTGACAGGACAAGTATCACAAGGGAACTACAACGGGTACAGTCGCCTCAGCAGATTTGGAACATCGACTGCCGGCTGTGGGTCGATGAACATGCAGCTCTGTACCTCGTAGCAGGCACATTTGCAGTGCAAGTACATGTGTGTGGGGTGTGCAGATTTGGATCAGAGACTTTTTCTGCACTTTGAGAGGTGAGCAAGTTTCAAATTGTTCAAGAAGAGCCCTTGGCCTCAAAAAGATGGAGCAGCTGCCAGCCGTTCACAATGTACACACCATGCACACAACACACACATGTGGTCTGTTTTGGCTCACAGTAGGTGCTGATCCCTTGGGACCTGTTTCTTTCTCCCTTGACTGTTGGTTGGTTCCAAGGGAATATGGGCCTCATTGCGAGTTTGGTCATTTGGACATGGGTATCACGAGTGTCATAGCAGGTTCTAGCGATGTGACATTAAGCTGTCGCTTCATTGCAAGAACAACAACAACAACACAATGCGCACGCCGTGTGCTATGCAACACAATGCGCGTGCTGTGCGCTATGTACACAATGCACACGAGGAGAGAATTACAGGAATGGCCATCAAAAAAGGAGGAATGAAGTGGGTTGACAGAGGTGAAGAGTTTATCTGCAACAACAGGTCTGGCATTTGCAATGCACCTGCCGCACATGCCAACAGACTTGCCTGGTAGCCAGGTGTCACATCCGCCGAGTCCAAATCCCCCACGGGGGATTGGAACTGCATAAGCCGACGTGAGTAGCCAGTGGCATCAATAACAAGCAGCGCAGAAACACTGCCATCAAGACACAATGGGCTTGTTGGAACAGGCGTGTGCTTCTGCTATTCCACAACATTGTTCCAAACAGCATCCATTTTGCAAACAGAGATAGCAAATTGGTGCATGATGGAACAGGCGTGTTCTTCTGCTCTTCCAAAACATTGTTCCAAATAGCATTCATTTTGCAAACAGAGATAGCAAATTGGTGCATGTTGGAACAGGCGTGTTCTTCTACTATTCCAAAATACTACTCCAAAGCGCATTCATATGGCATCAGATATAGCAAATTGGTGCATGTGGGAACAGGCGTGTGCTTATAGCAAATTGGTGCATGTGGGAACAGGCGTGTGCTTCTGCTATTCCAAAACATTGTGCCAAAGCGCATTCATTTTGCAAACAGAGATAGTGACTGGTGCATGTTGAAGTTACACACGCCAGGAGCAGGAGCAACGAGGAACAGCCTGCTCCTGGTATTGTTCAATTAGTTGAAGCCCAGCCTTTCACCATTTGGAGAATTGGAACCAATGAGGATTTGCTCCGAAGAATGTGGGACTTTACAAGGCCTCATCGCTGTCTTGGTAATATTCTTCCACATTGCCAGGTCACCATCAGCTACAACTCAGTGAATTTAAAAGAAATTCAGCCACATGTGCAGTGCACCTATTGAAACAATGATACATGAACATAAACATACATGTTTCAATGAAATATCCGTACAGAACTCAGTGAATTGCGAGTATATCGCACTCATGCCTTCTGAAACGCAAGCGCAAAAGTCTGCAGTACGTTCGGATTTCGCTTTTTATTTAAAATGACAGTACACGCGCATACTGTAAACATACAGTAAACCAGGGATCTCCAAGCACCACACAGGCTTGTTAGTGCCTCGTGCACACTGACCGCAATTGCAAAAGCTTGACTAAGCATTGCCCACTCAACCAGCAGGTGACGCACAATTTCACTGGAGCTCCTTGCAAAGACCAGCGAAGAAAACTGCGGGGTCAAATGCCCCCATTCAAAGACCACCTTGCGTGCACACCGCCAGTGGCCTTTGCCCCCGGGCACGGCACTCAAGCACGCGGCCGACCCCGGACCCCTCCGACGCACCTTGTGCCGTCCGCGCACGTCGCCCTTGTGCACGTTTGCAGGTGCTCCACGCTGCGGACCTGCCCGGCGAGGAACCCCACCCCCGTTTCCCGACAGTTCTCCAGCAGCCGCGACTTCAGGCGCCGTCGGTCCACCTGGCCGTACGGCCGCGCCAGGGTGCAAGGAGGCGAGGAGTCCTCGAACACGACGTCGACCTTGTCCCAGACGTGCGACAGGCAGTCCCCAAATCCCAGCGCCTCGAATTCATCCACCCACGTGCCGTAGTTGTTGGCCCACAGTGACTCGGGAGACGGGTCGATCACCCCCACCTGCGGACGCACAAGCCCCACGACCTGAAGGGCAGCCCCGCGTGGCACTTTGCCAGGCTCACGGCCTTGGGCCCTTGCTCCAGGAGTTCGGTTGGGACTTGCAAGTTCACGACGGCGGCAAGTCGACGAATTAAAAAACGGCGTCGTTGCTGTCGAGGGGCACAATGCGCTGCAACACTTTGTAAACAGGCGAGGTCGCCGCGCAGATCGCCCCAGGCCGTCCCCGGGCGGCGAGCCGTACGTGGAGGCCCTCCCTCCCAGCTGCTGCCGCGACCGCCAGTCCCGAGGGCCCAGCGCCCACCACCAGCACCTCCAGCGGCTCCTCCTCCCCGCGCCCACGCCGCATCTCCGGCAGGCCCCCCGCCTCCGGCGCGGACGCCCGCGCCCTCCCGCCCGGGCCGCCTCCCCTCATCGCGCCGGATCCGCAGCCCTCGCCCTGGCGGTGCCCGACCCGCGGATCGCGGATCCCGGATCTCCGGGAGGCCAGCGGGATCAGGCCGCGGGGGGCCGCGATACGCGGCGCCACCGCGCGCGGCAGCGCGGGGATCATCTTCGCCTGCCTGCCGGGGACCGCGCCCGTCGGCCGGCCTCCCGCCAATCGGCCGCGCCCGAATGCCTCCCGTACGAACTGCGGACTGACCCACGGTGGGATCACTGATCCCGGCGCGCCTCCCAAACCCGCTGAACGCAACTGGTCTCAAGACTCAGGGCCGCGTCTGGCGGCGCAGAGGGCCGGACGCAAATGGCCCCGTCGCCCAGGGAATCGACTTCTCACAAGGGGCGTCAGCGGCCCTTGTGTGTATGCATCCGTGTTTGCCGCGGCGCCGGCGGTGCACCGAGCCGACGACGTGCCGGCGGCGGAGCGACTGCGGGGAGGTCGGAAGGCGCCCGCCGGCGAGGGCGATGCCGGGGGGTGGGGAGTGGGTGGCGAGGTGGGGGGGGTGGGGGGGTTGGGCGAGATGGGGCCGTGGCGCTGCCCGGGAGGAGGCGAGGCGCGGAGGGCGTCAGGAGATTCGCCATCTCCAGGATGGCCAATCCTTTTGGGCGCTTTTGCCCCTTCCACATCCGTGCAGCATGCAGTGCGGGCATGGGAGCGACAATGCAAGGGACAAAATGCCAGCAACAGGCTCGAGTTGCGTGTTCCAGCGAAGTCCCAATCTGCATCTGAGGCGTGAGGATTCCATTGCTCAATTGCCTTCATCGGGAAATCTGTCATGTGCGAGGGGCTGGCCATTCTCACAACTGGCTGCAAAATGTGACAAAGGCTGCTGGCTGCCTTTCGTCAACGAAATGCAATTGGCTGCTCGACGTGCTGAACGGGGCACAGCACCACTGTACACTAGGACATGCCTGGACAACACCTGCGGTCGCTGTATTGAGCATTTCGTGTTTTGCTGCAACTGATTTCACAGCAACTTGTAGGCACATCTTCCACTGTCATACTTCCCTAGGCGGCACCTCGGCATCGAACGCGTTCATCAATCCACAGCCCAAGAGAGATGGATGCCCACACTGCAGAGGTGCTGTCTCGCTTGGCAGGCGACTTTGCGATCGCGCTGCAAGTGCAAACTGCCCATTTCACATAATGTGCGGCCCTTGACAAATGGTTCGAAGCTGCCGCAAAATCTGTGCCAGCAGCGTACAATACAACAGAACGAGAACACGCCATTCGTGTGCAGCTGTGTCCTCGGGTCGAATCCCAACACCGACCTGCGCGCTGTGACATCGACTTGAGGCCGCAATTCGGGTTCCTTGTTGATGAGAACTGCGGGGCATTGGATGTGGGGCTTTCTTGGTACATTGTTCATAGTACTAATAGTACTTCCACTTGTTTGGTTTCGTCCGTCGCGTTCCTCAACAGCTGTGTGTGAAGGATGTTCAGCATGGCAAGACTGCCCCCAGAATGTCTACAAATCAGCAACTCCGAAGAACTGCAACTCACAGGGCCTCAGTCTGCTTTATGTTGCCCCATTTTCGGACAAGGTATTCTTAACTTTGCCTTTAGGACCGTGTGCATGCAATTTCAATAATTCCCGATTCATTGGAGCAATGTGCACTCGTCGTCACCCAGAACCTGAAGCTGCGACCATCTGCTAGCCGCAGAGCTCAGCCGCCTTTAAACCAAAGAATGCCCACAATCGTGCTCCTTGCCTGTTTTCAACATCACGCTCCCAGGGGAGTATCACATCGGACCGCTCTCAGTATATCCCATTTCCACCTCACATCCCCGACACCGGTGTTATTGACACAGGCCTTTGAGCTCGCACGTGCACCTGGAATACCAGCTGGTGGGGGATTCTGCGCAATGTCATCTGCAGCTCTCTGCTGCGCTGACACAAGCGCGCCCAGCGACTGCTGCAACACCCTCGCGTCCCTTTCGTGCCCCAACAAGATCAGGAGCTCCGTCAGCTGGCCAACCTCTTCGCACATCTGACGGGTTGGGCACAAGTTGATGAGGTGTGCGCACAGAGTTGCCTCCTCCTCTGGACTCCCTGATCCACATTGCCAGCGAGTCGTTGGAATGGTGACAGGGCGAGCAACATAGGATGCAAGGGAGTGCTGAGTTGCTGCTGTTGCTCAGCAGAATATGGGGGCATCAACACCAGAAACAGTTGTGAGGCCAACACATGCTAGCCAATCCCGCTACCTGTCCACAGCCTCCAACTTAATCTCCCTTGTATGTTCAGGCGCCAGCTGAGTGACTGCAGGTCACTGGATTGTTGCAGGAGTGGCATGTTGCCGTGGCAATTGTCCTATGCCATCGTGTTCCAGGCAGTCTATGCAGTGTATCGAAATTGCAGTCGACGCAAAGTTTGCAACTGTTGCATCAGGCACTGTGTGAAGCAGGATATGTGATGAGCACTTGGGATGCGGGGCATTGTGAGCTTGCTCAGAAACCAGCAGAAGCCAAGACATACTATGAAGATTTACTGAGACATTTGATGAGAATTACGGCATTAAAAATACAAATCTGGACACACAAAAGAAACAGCTGCACCAACCCAGCAGCTGCTGGGTAAGGAGCGCGCACCACCAACATCCTACCTTGTCTGATTTTGAGGCCCTTGTTCTTCCCCTTCCGCCTTTGGGGTTTCCTACCCCCAACTGTGAGGGCGCTCACGCTGGCAGTTGATGCAACAGTCGTCCCAGCTGCCGTCCTGTCAGTGTACATGCTCATGCCTGCAACTGTGCTGGCATCCTCTCCTGCACCATCCCTATCCTCCAGTGCTCCTGCAATAGGGAAAGCGCCCCTTCTTGGAGTTGTGAAAGGGCACTCATTGTTCGCAAGTACTTTCTGATATCTTGGCTGGCTCAGCCCCCAGGAGTACATGTCTAACAAGATATGGGTGACATGGGTGCCAGTTCATCGCCAATGACCCCTTCAGATGAGCCACAAGGTATTCTGGGTTGCGTACAAGGCTGGGGAATTCTGCCACTGCTGCTAATCCCACCTGCCCAATGATCTGAACCCATCACTTCAATGCATGCGCCAACTTCTCAGTCACTGCCAGCCTTGCACCCCTCAAGGTCACAACAGGCACTGCTTCATCCACCCACTTCCACAAAATCCAACTGGACACAGTCGCCCGCTTTGACAGCTGCCATGTTGGCATCAGCTGCTCCACAGTTAGCGAAAGTGCTGCACTAAACTCAATCTTGACAGCACAACTTGAGGTAATTTGTTAATTCCCACACACTAAAAGTTGTTTCCACTGTCGCAAATGTCAGAACCGTGCCAATTCGTTCCACAGCAGGGGAGGAGCCACTTCTTTCAATTTCGCTACTTTTCCACCACCATATTTCTTAACTTCTATTTTCTCACATGCAATATACAGGCCCTACTCAGGGAATGAGATTCGAGACTGTGTGGACATCCGGTGATTTACCACCACTGGCGCAAGACACAAATCCTGTTATGCTGACACTCCAGGCAATCTGAAAACAGCAACAACGACACACATGCACCATACATCGCCTTGCCTTTTCACCAAAGGTGGCAAAAGCAAGCACTTCTTCTGCTACAACAGGATGGAACATGACCTCTCAACTGCCAAGTAACTTTTGGAAATGGAGCAATCAGCAGCGTGCCCCAAAATGCTATGGGAGCCACTGGTCAGCCATTCTGCGTACCAGCAAGGGTGTCTCCAGTCTCTCCAACCACTGCCTCCATAGCAATTCTCTTGGCTCGCACATCCTTCAGCCTCTCGAAGTACCGGCTCACTCGCTGTTCAGCCTCTCGAAAATCTGACAGCAGTGTCGTGGCGCATTCAGCTGCTGCCGGTGCGACTGTCGTTTCCACAAGGTCTCCCCTGCCTTGCCTGTATGCAATGTGCACGGCCTCCTGCCACTGCCTGTACATCACAGGTAAAAACACGAATTCGGCACTGGCAGAACGCGGGGCTGCATGCATGGACTTGCAGTGCGCCTGCACCTTGGCCACTGGCAGGGAGATGGAACACAGGAAGCTGCAGCGGAACATTCTGTATTGTGGACATTGCCCAGAATCGACCTATCATCGACCAATCGCATGAAGGGCCACTGCCTGTCAATGCATTGACAATGCAGTCGACAAGGGCTCACGCCCTGACAAACCTGGCTTCAGCAAGGAGCACCACAGCATCATCTGTATCCTGGAGGTAGTCCAGCGCAACACTGGCGGCTTCGGACAGCCGCCCCGATGCTCTGAGATCTTCGTACAGCTTGTGGGCCATGTCTGTGACAGCCCTTTTGCTCCATCCTTGGCGGTTGGCCAGCATGAGGGCTGTGCGCCACTGTCCAGCAGCCCTGAAACGGGCAGCCCCAGTGAGCGTTTCTTGAATACAATCAATTACACAAGCTGGAAAAGGGCCCTTGCATCTTGGGGGTGATGACAACCATACACATAGTCAAAAATGTTCACCCATTCGCTGCTTTTCCAGGACCAAGATTCTGGAGGCTGGGCTGTGAGGAGGAGGACTTCATTGCGAATCTGGGGCCTTCCCTGCAATGTGCCACAGGTGCACGGTTGATAGTTTCTCACGTTTCTGTGGATGTCATAGTGTCCGCCATCAACAGGACAATACAGGCCCCTTTCAAGCAGGCACCGACCTGTATGACTCAATGGCCATGTCCTCTCTTCCTGTTGCCAAGTATGCTGTGCCTGCATCTTCCAGCATGCCTCTGCCCTCCAGCCACTCTCCATATGCCATCAGCACTACCTTTCTTTTGTTACTGTCGGCATCGACCAGTCCTAGCAAGTCTCGCATCAATCCTTGCTCCTTGGCCAGATCCACAGCTTTCTCAAAAAATGCGTCCCCAGCAGCAACCAAGTTGTGCAGGGCCAGCTCATACCGTTTCAAGTGGAGGTCGATCTGGTGTTTCTGATAAGCCAACGGGTGCATGGCAGAGAAAGCTTGCAGCTCTAGAAGATACTCCCCTGGGTCTCGCTGCAACACAGAAAAGAACAGCCGATGCTCAGGGACATTCACAGGCAAGACATCCAGACTCTTTGCACAGCAGCACGACAAGCTCCACAGTTCTCGCCTATCACAGAATCATGCAAGATGTAGAGAGCACCAAAGCAAAAAACATCGACCAAAATGGCAGATCCATGACCTCTTGAATGAGGATAGAACTGGCAATGATCTTTGTTTGAAACCCCTTCCCCCGTGCATTTCACAACCCATTTGGATATTTTGCCAGAGCTGGACCAAATGAACAGACTGGGGGGTTGGTCCGTGTACCTGTGCATGTGTGACCACCATGTACGCCAGCTCCAAATCATACATGCCAAGGGCTTCCCGATACAGTTTCTCAGCGTCCACATGCAACATGAGGCCTGCCAGAGCCTCCCCAGACCTGCCTGCAGGCAAGCCATCTTGTCCACCATTGACAACGACGTCAGGCTTCTCTGATGTGACTTCAGCCTCCCTTGCATCTCTAATGCATTGGAGGGCATTCTTCAGGTCTGGTGGGGCGTTCCTGTTTTGGGCATCCACACTCAGGGACATTGCCGCAATCGAACTGGCATCGCCTTTTGCAAGACTGGATCAGGAAATCCGATTTGACAACCCTAGTCAAATGACTATTGACCACCATCCTTTTGCGAACAAGGCAATGATGTGTTGGAGGCACACCTGAATATTGGGTGGACCAGGTGCTCTGCACAATCGCTGCCAGGTGCCAGGGCAGAGCAGCCTCCTGGGCACAAGGCCAGTCTCTTCCTCTCTAACTACATACATTAGTTCCTTGCCATCTTTGCCATTTGCATCCATTCCACAAGCTTTATCCATGAACTAGAAGATGACTCATACCTTGCATGTGACATGACCACCGCCTTGAGGTATGTACCCTTGCCAGCATTCTGAACAGCTGTTCTGATTGCTCGACAGATGGCTGGAATCTTCCCTCCAATAAGACGTTCCTCTGGCACTACAGGTGTCTGCACGGTTGGGGACAGGAAGTCTGCATACAGGCCCCCCTCCTGCAGTGTGCTGCCTGGCTTCAATGCCATCATCATGTCACAGATATCCTGCATGACAGAGACCACCAAGGTTCAAAATGTTTGTGTTCATCCCTTGACCACCACTGTCAAAATGTGACAGCTGCTGCACTTCCCTTGAGTCTGAAGGGCGATGATCAGCAGAATTCCATGCACAGGGGGTTGTTCAGTTCTGTTTGTTCATTTCCCTTCAGCAACTGACTAACATTTCAAGCAGCTGGCACCTTTTCTGCGAAATGGACTTGCGAGTGTTTGCCAAAGTACAAAATCTGTCATGGATGCCACCAAAAGCAAGCGAAACTGCAAGTGACGAACAATGTTGCAGCCATTGCAGGGCGCCAGTAACTTCTCAAAAAGCCATCTTGAACAACATTGTGATGTCGTTGATTCAGAGAGAACAACAACGAACAATACGCAAACTGAAAATGCAGGACAGTCCAAGCTTGCGACACACTGATGGCCATTACTGTCACAACAGGGACCAGCCCCACACCCCGAGTCCAAATACTGACCTCCTCATTATCCACCTCTGCCACAAAGATGTCAGCTTCTACAACAAATGCTGGCCACCGATAGTCCACCAGCACGTTCAGATCGACTCTGTTGGACGTCGCCAGCCTCCATGCTTCAGCATAGCCTTTCTGCTGCAGCGCATCACATATGGCACAGAGTACCAGAACACGAGGGCACACAGTCTCCAGGTTGCCACGAGTCATCTGCAAGATGACCTTGCTGGTTCCTGTGGTGAACATGAACTGGGTTGGCAAGGGCTATGTCCGATGGCATGCTGTAATTTAGAACAGGAAGAGAATTTCTTCGGGATAGAACACTTAGCCAGGTGAACAATGTCTAAATTTGCCCAATAGGTTCAAGGAGAGTGGCTTTTCATGCTCTAATGAATGTTGTCAGGGCAGTAAAATTATTGTGTGCATGTGAGTAGGATTGCCCCTGCTGTACTATAAATAGATAAAGGAAGCTTGAAAGAAACAAAGGTATCATGTGTGGTTGATTGGATAAATAATTAACGTCCCAGCTATTCCCCATGGTTGAGGCTCCTGTTCTTTACTGTGGGCACCGGACCTGCTGTAAAAGCTGAAACTGTTGCTGGATCTTGGACCCTTGATGGGCCAACAACGGCCAAAACCACGGGTCCAACAATAGGCAGCCGTACAGAAGAGATGCCAGCAACAGATTTCAACTATTTGCTGTCAAACTGCAAAGGCAAGTTAATCATGTGAAGCACAAACTAAACTCAAGCAGCTCAGCAATGTGCCAACAACAGGTCAAAAGCAATGGGTTTACTGTGAAGAGTAGGTTCCCACAGCAGGCCAACATTGGGTCCACCAACAGGTTCTGTACACGTTGTCACCACATCCATTGCCATAACCATAGGAGGCTTGGACTCTGGACCATCTCTGCTTTTGCAACTTGTGCAGCGAAAGGGCCAGCAAGCACACATTATGCTCTGAAAGTTCAAATCACGATGGGCATACACCAACTCTAGCATAAACTCTTCCACGACTGTGACCAAACACATGTCCAAACAACCACTCACGATGCTATCATGCTGTCAAAGATCACACACAGTTTTCATCATAATCATACATTCTTATATGTTTTATTTCAGTACATTCACAACAACAGCTCCTACTCACTGATAGGGTGATACATGTGTTGATAGACAACAATTGCAACAACAACAGAAAATTGTGCTCAGTTGGATAGTACACAATTTCGTTAAGATTCTTTACAGTATTTCAGCAAACTTAAGTGCAGGCAATTCAGAAAACAGCAACACTAACTGTGAAGGCAAAGCTGGTATCTGATGTACCATGCTGAAATAGATGAACATAACTTGGGGGTTGAAACATGGGCACTGCAGCCCCTCATGACTACTAACCTGGAGGTGACGCAACTAGCCTGCTGCCTTGCTCCACTTGTCTAATGTGCAAGTCCGTCTGATTTGTCACAGTTGCAGGGGGCCGCATGGCAGCATGCATGTCCTGAGTTGGTCCGCTGCGACGAACCGCCTTGTATCCACTGACACGTCTGCTCGGCACACCCATGGCCACAGCACTAGCATATGAATATATAATGTGAAGGCAACAAAAGGGGGCACATTCGAAGTTATATATCCAAGGCCAGGGTACCACAATTGGTACAATTGCATGCTGCGATTAGCATTGCCGTTTGCTGTTATGACCAAAATTTTGTGACTATCCACAAAGATGCAAACTCATGTGCACAGCACACACAGTGAAACCAATTGGGTGCCAAGCTGATGAGCGATACAGGACAGCCCTGGAGCTGGAGCCATGTGCATCTGCGTGCAAACATGTGTTGTTTTTGAGGTGGCAGTGGAATGGAATCCTGAAATGTGGTGTGCAGATGACCGGGTTGACAGGGTATTGCGCTTTCCTCCAGCACTGGAATCAGCAAGCACAGCACACCTGCTGGCGGACGACTGTGTGGTCTTAAAGCCTTCCGTCCCACTGCCTTGGAGTTCGGCATATGGGACAATGTGGAGCTCATTCGATCCTGTGACAAAGGCCAGGAACACTCCCCCAGCGCCTGACCTTCGGACCAGCATGGACGTGACGTGCCCACTGATGGCCGTCGCATCAAAATACAGCTGTCCTTTGTCTGTGAGACCAACGACATGAGCCTGAGGAAGCCCACTGGCCTGGGGCACCACCAGGCAGCACATGTGCGGGCAGAGCACTGGAAAACCTGCCACAGTGGGGAATGGAGATTGCTGGTGCTCTGCAGCATACTTGATGAGGCTGCCATTGTCCAGCTGCAAGACTGAGGCACCTGGCAACAGCAAAAGAGTTAGGGAAGTCCAGGATGCAGTCTTGTCCAGAAACGAAGCATCCAATGAGTTCATGCCCTTGCTGTTGGATATGAACCTGGTTCGGGAGGGCTTTAACTTGCAGCACTACACATCCACTGCTGAAACATTCTACCTTGATTTGACAATCTTTCTGTGTACACGAATACTCAATAATCCTTTATTCATCACATCAGCCAGAGCAACAGCAAAGGCAAGTCAATGTGCTCAAGCCTAACTGCCACACATCGGCAGTGTCTCCCATGTGGCAATGCTTGTGCGGACCGACAGGTCCATCAATAGCGATGCAAAGACCAGCACAGTCATTCATGGGAAAGTCTCCATTCTCTGCCAAACTCAACTCAGTATGGGTCAATGAGTCAAGTCTGCCAGCAGAGCTCACTGTCTAAGCAAGCCATGATCTCTGTGATACATCTTGTTGACAATCACACTGATGGGGTGCACTCTGTGTGGTTTGAAGCCCTCATGGAACAGAAAACAAGCAGTCAGGATCGAGTTTCAGATACAGGCTTCAAGATAGCAAGGAGACATTATGAGCATGGACTTGACATCATGGGCATCGACTTGCATGTGCAGGTCACTGCATTGTCGCCCTTCAACAACGCAGGTGAGATGACAGACATCTCCACGAAACCTGGTTCCTCCCACCTGGCACATCGACCATCCTGCAGATCTGATGTCCAAGCTGCGGTGAAGCCCTCACTGAGACAGCACCCCGATACCCCACATCTCCCTTCCTATCACAGATCTCCACCTCCACACAGACATCCCCACTGTTTGCAGACCCCAAGGGGGGTGCCCCAACCACGAGGACTCTGTTCTCATGCAGCCAGACCATGTGCCTGGCAGCTCCAATCACATCGGCCAATTCAACCTCATGAATCACCATGCCAGAGACCGTGGCCATATTGCACTCTTCAGAATTGTCCTCACTGGGGTCCTGTGTGCCACAAACATGTGCCTTGTACTTTCTAGGCAAATGTAGTTGTTATATTTCCAGAATCCCTAATATTCTAACATATGCATCGATGTATATTACGTAGTACTTCATTCAGTACTTATGAAGTATTTAGCTTTGTTGAGGGCTGAGCCCACAACAAAGACCAGTTTTGTTTTGAAAACAACCTGTAAGATCCCACCAGCAATACACAACCACACATGACACCCCTATGTCTGCACCTAAGGAGCCCTTGCACTGGGTGCCTGTGTGCTCATTGCAGTTGAAGGCAGTGTCAGGGACAATCAGGTAAAGAGAGCACTCCTACATCCCCTTCCACATCAATGCAGCAAGTACAGTTCGATCGCTGAGGTGCTTGTGCTTGCAGTTGTGTTCTTCCCAACAAGGGAAGACAGTGCCCTGTAGCCATACCTGCAGTAAATCGGGATGATCCCATTGATCTTCCACCGGGCACTCAACAAAGCCCATTTTGCCTGTTGACATGACCACTGCCAGCGCCTCCCTGGGTGCTCCGTTGCGAAAGGCCAAGCACTGTATTGGGTCCAGAAACTGCACTTTGGCAGCTGACAAAGGAGGGGGCATTACCATGTGCCTGCAGAGGATGGACAAGTTGCGATGTATAAACAGATACGAACAAATTGAACCTATTCATACTCAATTGTTGCCTACATTGCATCCAAGGCATAAAGATAAATGTCTGCAATAGAACCAGTGTTGTAGCTGCTGTCTGTGCATGGGTGTAGCAGAGCACATACACCGTGCTGTGCCCATGTGGCTCATTGTGAAAGGTTTTCTGAGCAATTCACACAGGTGTTACACCCACTTGAAGTGAGTTGTCTTCAGCCATGCAGATCAGAAGCACTGCTATGTTGGCCAGCAACAGACTGAGCCCTGCTCTAAAATGGTATTTCAGTGGCTTCGAGTGGGCCACACATTGTGGCACAGACATAGATTAACGAATGGTCACATTATGGCGAATTTAGAATCCCCCGCCCCCCCAACAAAAAAAAATAAAAATAACAGTCCATGGGGGACATAGGATGTTCGGGTGGCAGCGAAAATATCACTGCGTTATGTTTAAATATAAGCAACGTAGCATATTTTCATGACGCTTAAAATGTGAGTGCCCAAGATATGAGCAGCACCAGACAACACACAGAAGAAATGCATAATCAACACTCAGAAACAACTGAAACAAACAAAGCCCCAGGCCCCAACCTGAAAGGCGTCATCAACACTTTGTGCCCATCCACTACTGCTGCCGTCCCCATGTGACTGACATCAGCATCCAGCACAAAACTTAGGCAGCAGTACCCTCCACGACCCGTAAGGATGTGTAGCTGCTGCGTGCCAGCTTCCTCGTCCCACAGGAGCTGCAGGCCCTGGCAGCCTGTAGCAAAGCACCTCTCATGCTTAAGGTACCAATGCCAGTTGCTGCGTCGCCAAACCTGCAGAACAGCAACGATCCAGTTGCACAATGCCAGCATGTGCAGCAGCACGATTTCACCCAGTGTGGCTGTGTATTCCTGGATAAAAACAAAGATGTGCTTGATCGATGGAATCATGCCTAATGCTGTGTTGGCAGGGGCAAGGGAACTTCAATTTCGTGCTTTGGCAAACGCAGTCGAATAGAACAGATCATGGTGCCCTTCACTTTGTTCTGATTCAAAGAAAGCAACAACCTGCCATTGGGACACAGCTACTGGCCACATTGAAAGGGGCGTTTGGTTGTTGCAACTATCTGTGCAGGGGACGAATACCGATTGAGTTCCAAAAAACCATTCAAGAGGTCTTCAGACGTTGGGGCCAAAGCGGCAAAGCCAAAACATCTCACCTGCACTTTCCAGGGCATACTGCCCCTTTCACTAGGCTCAACCACCAGTGCCAATAGCTGGGAGTCCAAGCTCCAAATTGCCTGGCCAACGCAACCTATGGAATGACCATCATTGTTAGGCAACAATGTTTGCCGAATGAATAATCATGAACAACCACAAGAGCCACAGGTACAGATGCTGCATGACAAACGATGAAAGTGCATGGGTGGACAAGCGCCTCTTCTTGAGCAAAAGGAAGGCCACAAACTTAAGATAAATGCATTCTGTGACAACACTAAATGAAGTAACTGCTTCAAGCAGTCAATGATATATCTGTGGAAATCTGTTAAATGCTCAAATGATATGTCCCCAATGCTGCACAAATGGACATCAGGGTCATGTCACATATCGCTTCTGGTCAGTGCTACAAAGATAATTTAACCTCCAAATTACTGGCTGTTAGAATCTGAAAGAGAACTCCACAGGTGTGCGACTAGGCCTTGATCCAAAGCATCATGTTGCAAGAGAACGCACCCTGGCTGGGTAAATCAAAGGATCCATGCCCAAGTCCATTCTTCTCAAACAGCTTCATGGACAAGTGGCCATCACAGTTGCATGTCGCATAAATGTGCCTGCCATTGGGCTGCCATGCCAAGGCGCGACCCACCAAATTCGTGGTGTCTCCTGTCGAATGCAGAGAGCAGGACTCTCTTTCCCAGATGCTCAGTGTTCTGCAGGGCCGCCCAAACACGCACATATCAGGAACCCTGGTTATGGAGCACATGAAGGAGGAAACCTTGGCAGCCAACTTGACTGCATCGCTTCTGAACAGAGCACAGCTGCTTTTGGGCATTTCGAATAATCCTCTGAATTGTCCAAGCATCAGCAAGCTGCTGCATGGACACACATAGATGGTTGGCACCGGGAGTTCAATTTTACAAGTCCACTAATTTTTTCACCTGCATAATGATCCCAGGATAGTAGCTCCACACTGCTCATTGGGGGCATGTTCGTTAGGCAACAGCACCACAGCTGTGCACCAAATTCCCCAGCCAGGTGCTCAGGTGCAGATCTATTCCACAGCCTCTCGATCTTCAAGTCTTCAGACTATGCTTTAGTTCTAAGCATTTGATCAGCAATTGTGCGATCATGTCCGGCCATAACTCAGATGTCCCTGGCACGAATGCTACCTTGCAGTTGAGCAGGCAGCGTGCCGTGGAAAGGAGAGCCATGACAACTAACACTGTGCTAACAATTCCAAACGAGTTGCTCAATCCAGAGGCATTTATGTTGAGTCCACAAATCTGGTCCAGTAGGTGCCCCTGGAGATTTTGATGCTACCAAACTTACCATCTTGACGTTACCAAACTTATCAGCTTTTCATGGCCATGGACACTGACAGAAGGCCGTGCACTGTTCCTCCACGTGGGATTCAGAACAGTACATGTCATGACAAGGCAACCGATCGTGCAGGTCCCAGTGAGTGCATGTTTCTTGCTGCTATTGTCTTCTGCTTCTTGCATGCTATCTCTTCACACTGGGAGACTTATACTTCATTGTCTGCAGGGTGGGAAACTGTAGCACAAAAATCTTGCTCAAGGGGAACAAAGCAATTGCCTGTACCATTCCCAGGAAGAAAATGTGGTGTCTCACCGCATGGCATTCAATTCTCCCAGCACAGCGAAGTACTGGCCATCTCCCCGCCAAGAAACTGCCACATTGCTGACAACGGTGCTACCATTCTCTTCTCCTACCACAGAGAGGCTCATGGCTTGGTGCAGACACACCTCACTTAAAACCTCCCATTCCTGCAGAACAAGATCATGTTGCTTCTACTTTTGAACCTCAGTCAGCACACAATGAACAAGGGGTAGATGGTGGCCACCAAGATGAAAACGCTTGAATCGTCACAGTTCGCATAAGTAACACCCAAGGTTGGCAGAGCTCAGTGCAAATGTCCATGGCTCAAGGAGACTCAACTGAACTCATTCAATCCAATATAGGACAAGCAGTCAATCAAGTTCCTGCAATAATCGGATGGCATCCTCCCAGGGAGGACCAACACCAGAGTCCCACAACAGACAGTGGTCAATACAAGAGGCTAGACAAGCAGTTTGTGACAGCAACGCCCCATCGCATACAATTGTCACGATCAATTCCCAATGGCACAGGTTGTTAGCATAGGACCACCAGAACAGATCGTCACCTGTGTGATGTGATCTCTGCCAGGCAGAATGCTGAAATGCAAGTGTTTTAGACTCTGCAATTCAAAAGCTGAAGTTGAACACAGAAACCTAATCGAAAGTTCGTCGAATGCTCAATGCCTGCAACATACCATGTTCATCAGGAGCAGATTCCCTTGTCCTGATACCAGGGCCAAGATCTCTCCATCTGGGCTCCAAGCCGCCGCTGCCAGGCTGCCCTCCACAATTCCCACGTCCTCAACATCTTCCCCTTTGCAGTCAATCAGCAGCAGCTCCCCACTTGAAAGGCACAAGAAGAGGCTCTCTAATTCCAGGAGGAAGGATATCATCAGGGGAGAAGCCCCATTGGGGGAGGGCAGGTATGTAGGAGACAAGGGGAGGTGCCAGGCGAGCTGAAAAACCGCACGGGGAAAGTGAACAGGCCTGGCTTCCTACTCCATTTTCCAGTCCCAAGGCAGCAAGACACCAAGGGATACAGTTGCTGTAGTCAGTGTGTCTGAAAGAAAATCCTAGATTTGAAATGTTCCCATGGCATTCAACCCGAATGCCACTGGAGCATTCAATTCTGGGACACTATAAGGTGCTCCTTTCTCTGCACCTGCCAATGTCCACCACAACAACCCAAGGAAGACAGGCAATGCAACGCGGTGCCAGTGGATTCGCAGTTGGCGTCTGGCCACTATATGGCCAGCTTCGGGCGCCATTCACCCACATTCCAGTTCCGGGTACACTCCTCAGATGGATGCACATAGAAAACTACACATTCTCAATTCACCTGCACTGCCTGAATGCTCCATTGGTGGTTTCTGTCAAGTTATATCCAACAGTGCGTCATTGTCACGTGGCATGTCGCCAGGACGCCGCAGCATTCCACTCATGCGGCCTGGCACCCAGCCGCAGCTCAGCCAATGTCGCTCGACAAAGAATTGAGCCGCCACGGGTAATCATCTCGCACCTTGCGCTCTTTGTAGGCAATGCAACAAATGGCACAGTCGCTGGACGCCAAATAAGCGCGCCCGGTGGCTGCATCGACGCAAAACGTGGTCCACAGGGCACCTTCACATGCTTCGCAGAAGGCCTCACACCCCAGGGACCATTCTCGGAGAACACACAGGTTGAGCATCGAGAGGGTCGGCTGTGCCAGGCACGATGCCGTGCGGCCCGGTGTCCAGGTTATTGCCCAGCGGGAGTGCTCGGGAAGCGGGAATGTGCCGCGACACTGTCTCCCGACTGCGCTCGCCCTCCCTGGTTTGACATGCACTTGGCAATCACGATCATTGCCACGACGATCATCAATGCCTTCAGCAACATTAATGCCGCATTTACGCACATCAATTATGCAGCAAATTCTCGTTGATTATATTCAAACACATGCTCCAGTCTTTTCCCACCAAAAGCCGTCCTGAACAAAGGTCAGTGCCTGAAATGGAATCTCGACAATCTATCATACGGACAGTGCACGTGCACCCGTTCAGTCCAGCCAGCTTCCTCATTCATTCAACCCACATTCCAGTCCAAGTGACTCTCTCCAAACGGAATGGCCTTCAGGCCCTGCTTGCAGGATGCCCCGATGACTGTAGTCGACAGACTATTCACAGGGCAGTACTCCTCCATGCTGACAATGTCATGCACTAAGCAATTAAGCACCCAGAGACGGTGCGCATTCTGCGGCAGCCTCACGTTCAGCCAACTGCGATCATGAGCCGAACTGGTCGCGTGTGACAAACATTAGATACAACACCCTTTTGGCCATCTATTAATTTCACTCCAACTCAGAACCCCTCCGTTGCATTTGTCTGCTTCATTGCCTTATGGGATTGGTACCCCAGCATCCGTATTCCAGGGATTGCACTCGAGTGCAGTTGGCGTCCCCAGCCTCGTCCCTCCTTATTTCAGTGTGATGGTTGTCGGGGTCCAACCACTCCAATCCCAAGTTCACCACCTGAAGGTATCGATGGTCACCTAACAGTGGCTTGAGCCGCATGGAAATGTGTCCATAGTATCAATATTGTTGACTTTGCGCCGCTGTGCTTTTCTCTTAACGGGTGTGATCTCAGTGCCGATCGCCGGAGAAGGTGAACGCCCAGTACCTCGCAGATGTTTTTCAATGGCATGATGACTCGATGTCCAAAGGAGTTCACAGGCCACATGGCACCCGAGAGTTTGGATCGCTGGAAAGATCGAAGCTGTTGGACCAAGATTATGATGGTTTGATTCCAACCCTTTGAAGCGTCCCCCCGCTTAAATTGTGCATAACAAATGCATCACGCGCGAGCATGTACGAGGAACGTTCACGCGAATCACACTGGAACATCTCTGCGCGGGTGATTTCGTGGCACCAATGTGTCAGCTCTCAACGTTGTTGCCGCGGGCCCAGGAGCTGGCAGCAACCGTCCCACCCACAATGAAAAGGAAACTGGGCGATTCAGATTGGTTTCCTGATTGCAAAGCGAGACTGTGGACTGTGTACTCGAGTGCGCGGTGTCAGTTGTCGTGAATTTTCAATTCAATTCAATTTTTCAATTCAATTTTTCAATTCAATTTTTCAATTCAATTTTTCAATTCAATTTTAAAAAATTTCAGGACGACACGCACCAGCCAGGGACCCCTGGCCCTAGCCCTGGGACCCCACCTGGGAGGGGAGTACCGCTATCCAATTGGTTTCCTGCGCATGATGACGATGGGAGGTGTCAGGCGGATCCCCCTGAAACCCAAACATACGGCCTCACGCCCAGTGCGATCGCGCACGCGGCGTCATGCAACCCAAGATACTTGCCGGGTCTGCACATTTCGACGTGAAAGTTCTGGAAGCGCTACAGCGACGTGGCCATGCTGGATATGCACCCTCGCAGGTGCGAATGCAGCACAATTCTCTGTGCTCGGATGGCAATCCCGCCTCAATGCAAGACCCGACGTTGCAGACGCGCCACAAGCGCCAGGGCGCCTGTCGCTCGACGAGTACAAGACATACACATCATTCAGCTGCCCCCTACCGTTATCACACCACGCTCCCGGTCCTACACTAACCCACAATGCACTCTCTCGTTCCCTAACCCCCCCCCCCACCCCACCCACCCCACCCCACCCCACCCCCGCCCCTACCTCCCCCCGCACACACTAATAAATCCATTCCAAGCTTCGTTCCCAGAGTTCCCATCCAGGCCGTTCGCCACGGCCCACGTCCTCTTGCCACAAGCCGACGAAGAAAGAATTGCAACATCTGAAAAAGCCCAAACCGGCATCGTGGCCGCCCTGAAATGTGGTCAAAAATGCAAATGACAGCGAGTCGGCACTCAAAACAAGCCATCTGCCGAAAGCCAAGCCCCAAAATGGATGGTGTGCCAAGTTGTTAAGTGCATTCTGAACCGGCAGATGGACGGACTCCATCCCTCCGCGTCGACGATTCTCCAAGCATCACTTCGTGGCTCATCCCTCTCCCAAGGTCCAGAAAGCAGCGGCCCTGCACAATGCGCTGCCAGCGCCTGTTGACAGTTGGGACCCTACTGCGTTGGTTGAGTTCCTCTTCGCATCAGCACTGAGTACTACTGGTCCTGCCATCTGGTAGAGTTCAGATTGGGTAGATGTCCCTGTTCCTCTTGCGCCACACTGGCACCAGTCAGTTGGAAAGCGCCCTGCGCCACAAAACGCTGGCGCACAATCAAATATCGTCCATCCGTTAATTTCTAATAATCGACAATCACATTTCCCTGCACTCAAAATTGCCCAAGCATCAATCCCCAAACCGCTGAATACAACCAACACTCCAGCAGCTCCCATTAGCCCGACAGGAGCCTACCCCTTTTCCTAATACTCCATCATCATTCAGCCTTTACAGGGCAGCAAAATTCACTTCGATCTCCCATGCGAGGATCAATGCCGTTGATCGCCTCCCAAATCATTTTCATTCTCAGGCCCTCCTTGCTCAACAGCATCTTGATCGCACTGGCCCGTTGTGCGTTCGTCCTGCTCGCTTTTTGGCACGTTCTGGCCCACCTCCCCTTCCATCTTCACTCGCTTAAACACAGGTTGGTCGGCAGGCTCCTTGTAACCTCCTTGAAAATCCTTCAGACTGCTGCCAAAGGAGCGACCCAGCAAATCGCTTTTCTGAATTGCAGAACGTGAACATGCATTCAGCTGGGGAAAACGCTGTCTTCAACACAGAAACCCGCCACCAGCAAGTCAGCGAAGAAATGGTTGCAAGTTGAAAGCACATGGAGGTCTGAAACAGAGGTATTCGACATTTGCAGGCACAACATAATCCCTGTGCCCATAGTAAACCAACCTGCAGTTTAGCATGGGACAGAAAGCACCGCCAGCAAACACAGCTTTCAACAATGCCGACAAAGTGGCCCTGCTTCGGAGTTCCAGGTCGCATCTCTTCACACATTGTTGACAATCGATCTATGCTTTAACAACATACAAAATGTTGCTGAGCCACACCACAGGTCAACCCAAGTTACCGAATGCAAATATTCCGCTTACCACTAGATCGAGAATTCTGAGTTCATCTCTCAAACGCTGATTCTCCTCTCTGAGCTTGCTGCCCTCCTCCTCAGCCACCTGGCAACGACGCTCAAGAGATTCCTTCTCTTCTGTCCATTTGCGCTTGTCTTCGACAAGAATGTTTATCTGTCACAAAGCACGCAGCATCAATAAACACTGGCACAATGCAGGCCAATACTTCAGAGAACACAAAGACTACCTTTCAGTGACACATCTCATAGAACAATTTCCAGATGGATTCGTGCCCTGCTGATAATGTCAAGGCACTGCAGTGAGTGTGGTCGACAAAGTTGTTAGCATTTCCACTCATATGGTGAACACTAACTGCGTCAAACCCTAAATCCCTCAGTAAGTGTCTCAGTGCTTTTCAAGCTCTTGTTTGTGGCATATTCTCCTCTTGTGCTTCATAATCTTTGACTAATTTTCCAGGAATGCCAGAGCTCCTCACGCAAATATGGTTCCCAAGGAGGGGGTGCACCAATTGAAATGACATTCCTTTTGAATACATTGAATGTGCAGCCTCGTGCAGTTGCGATTTTGAATTTACCCATCAATTTCCCTCTGTTCCTATCTCATGCTTTCCCATTTGTGGTTCCTGCAAATAATGTTGGAGCTGTAAGTGTCCCAAACACTTACAATCCTGGAATGCAGGGATGTCTACCCTGGGATCCTTCAGTGTCATAGCCATGCCATTGCACCAACACAGCCCAGTTGCTGTTGTTCTGCTGATAGATGTGCAGCTTTATCTTGCATGATAATCCTGCCCCACTCAAGGAAGGCTACATCATCACAGCAACCAGCAGTCCCCAAGTTCTTGCAGAGGGAGGAGGGCCTTTCCATGGGGCCTGTGATGTCTTTTGTTCATCGCAAGCACTTTCTGCTTCGAACAGAGCACAGCCAGAGCTCTACAACGCCTGCTGAAAAAGGGCATCGAACTGGCTCTTTGGTAAGCGCACTCACATGATGGATTCACTTGGAACCATTCATACTAGCTTATCCAACTGATCCTACTGCGATGGGAGGCTCCACCGGGCCCATCAATAGATCGACAGGGCAGGGGCAGTCTCTGAGAGCTCAAAATCCCCGCTGCACCTCACAACTTAATTTGGATGAAGAAAAGCACCCACCTGATCTTCCATGGTCAAAAGATGTTCCTGCTTCCTTCGACGCGATCTTCTTGCTGACTCACGGTTTGACAGCATCCTGGCCACGTAAAGGTCCTGGGGTCAGGAGCAGCACTGCAAAGGAAACTTGGAGCAACACCAAATACTCTGCATGGCCGCAGGATCTGCTCTCCTATGCTCTGCCGATTGAAGGCAAGGACCCCGCAGGATCCACTAAACGCACAGGGGAGTTGCCAAGACTTCATGTTTCACAAATGTGTTCTTCACTCTGACAAACATGCAACAGAGTTGTGTATGCAAGGCACCAACATGCCCAGCAAGGCCAAAGCAATCAAAGTTGATTTCTGCACCCCCGGAGTACAAATATGCTGTGTTTTCTCACCCTACCTTACAGACTTCTGCATCATCTTTCACATTATCGAATGGAGTCTCATCATCATTTGCTTACGAGGGGTGCCCATTGTACAACGTGTCTCTCTTGCTACACTGAATCCTTCACACCAGCATGAAAGTGAACAACACCGGCCCAACAGGGGGGCGAGTGCGTGGCCAGAGACTTCCAGCACAGGATGGACACACATGCCTCTTGGGAGTGCTGATATTCCACGCCTTCTCATCAACAACAGCACGACTGGCACAAAAGTGATGCAGATCTTAGAATCCAACGAAGAGCACGCGCAGGCCTTCCTCACCTTCTCGCCCGCCTCTGCTCGGCCTTCTCCAGCGACTCCCTGTCGATGGCGCCCATCGGCGCGTGCACCCCCGCTGCGGAACCGCCCAGCTGCGACAGCTGCAGGGCCGCAGCAGCCGCGGCCGCCGCCGGCGACAGGCCCCCCGTGGCGGCCATCAGTGGGTGGTTTGCACCCTGGAGGCCGGGGACGGCAGACAGGGCGGCGTGCAGGCCGTTGGCCTGCAACACCTGGGGCAGCGAGGACAGGTCCATCGAGGTCGCGGGGAAGCCCGCGGACATCGCGCCTGGGGCAGCAGCAAGGGGGGCCCTGTCAGCGCCTGGCCGCCCCGCCATCCCGCAAACAATCCACAACTCCGTTGCAAGGGCCCGCCACGCGGTCCTCCGCCAAGGCTCGGCGCCGATCGGCCCGGAGCCAACTTGCCCGTCGTCGCCGCGGCCCGTGGCGGGCCGCACCCGTTGCCACGGCGCGATGAGCCGCCGGGGCGATGCCTGCTGGAAGGGGGTGGCCCAATCTGCCCCGCAGTTTCCAACACGCGTCGACGCGCGACGGCCGCAATGGCGAGTCGAGGCGGCTTGACGTGTTGTATAGGACGCCTGGTCAGTGCCACGCAAGTGGGCCCTGTTGGGCCCAGCGTGGGCGCACGGGACCGAGTCCTATCCCTCGGCGTCCGAGGGGCCATAGGCGCAGGCAACAGTGCGGGCCACCCCTTGTCAGCCGCTCTCGCGGAGGACGCGCCCGAGGCCCGCACCCTGCCCGCAAATGGCTCGGGCTTCGCCCCCCCCACGGACCCCAAGCCCCAGACGGCCAAATCCCCACATCGGCCCGGCCAAGCGCCCGCGTCGATGCGACCCAGGGCAGCGTGAGATCCCCGGGGCGGCCGCGCGTCACTCGCGGCCCGCAGCCGGCGCTTGGCCCACCGCCGCGGCCATCCATTCCGTCGCTCTCCGTAGGCGCGCCACCGCACGCGCGGGCCGCGCAGCGATTCCGGCCCATACCCGGCCCCACCGCGCCATGCCAACGATAGCCCCATCAGCTACAACGTAAGCCGTAGGATCGGCCATACAATCCGTAGTTCTCCTCCCAGCCCCCCGTCACGACGCGCGAATGGCAACCCACCCACCCACCCCCCTTTCCCCCCTCGCCCACCGCCCCCTCCCATCCCGATGCTGCCGATCGCCACCCCCCCGCCGCACCTGCCGTCCCGAACCCCGCCATCGGCGCCGCCTTGCCGTTGGACGACTGCACGACCCTGTCCTCCGCCTGGCCGCCGTCCATGGGGCCGCCGCCCGACAGCGCACCGCCGCCGCCGCCTCCTGCCTGCGCCGCCAGGCTATTGGTGGACGGGAAGCTCTTCAGGAGCTCTTGCAGGGCGGCCTCCGAATCGGACCGCCCCATGCCCGCCTGGCCCAGCCGCCATATGCCCCCCACCAGGTCGTCCACGCTCAGGCTGCGGTCCATGCGTCGCCAAGGGGCCGGGGGGTGCGGGCTGGTGGGGGGTGTGTGCGCGTAGCCGGTGGTGGGCGCGAGCGGGCGGGTGTGCGCCGGACTGCAGTGCTGCTGGCTGTCCAGCGCAGAGCTGATGAGTGTCCACCGGGGCGGGTTGCCACGAAAATAACGACATTCAGGCGGGCCAGAAAGGGCACATTTGCATGGATGGTGGGATGTGGCGGCGCCCCTTGGCCCAGAGACTGGTGACCCTGGGGGCTGTGGTCGCATGCCGCTTGCGGCGCCTCCGAAGCGAGGCTCCATGCGCAAATCCCACAAGGCGGGGCGATACAAACTCACAACATGCTACCCTGGGAGGATCTCCCAATTATAATCCTAGTCCAGTCTCCCTGGTGGATCCTGATCTTTTTTCTGAGAAAATGATTGGCCGGTTGGTGTCCTGGAAGGCCAACCAGCGCCTCGAGCCAGGCAGCGGCCCAACGTGAATGAAGACAGATCACCTTTACCGTTGGAGGGCACAGAGCAATGGCTGCTCATTGATGCAATGTGCTGACTGCAATCCGTGGCGATGAAGCTTTGGGGCCCAGGGTTCGTCTTGCAGTGCCGCATTGGTTTGCACTTCCCGACCTGCCCATCCATTAACTGCAGGAAGCCATACTTGAAAATCTGCTGCAAGTTATTGTTTTATTGATTCTCCGATTGTCGCTGGGAATGTGCAGAAATTGAACAGGACATGGGGTGCTCTCACAGTCCCTGGATAATTTGGGCGGCAAGCAAACTTCCGACAGAGTGTAATTTACTCTGTAAAGTGCAAGTTCGCTGGTGCCCAGGCCATCCACCACGGAAATAGCATTACTGCATGCTGATACTGTGACCGGGCCATAATGGGCCCTGGCCAATTTGGCAGGCAACAATACTGATTCTCTTGTGTACAATCTCACACAGAATGCTGTGGAGTTCAGCTCAACATGGTGCAAGGTTCATGAATCAACTCACAGTGTATACTGCTCCATCCCCCTACAAATCGATGGCTGATCCCCCCAGCAGATGGCCAATTCTTACTCAGTCAGCATACACACACAGCTACAGTGCAGGGCAGTCACACAACCTGCAAAGGGCACCTCTACAGCAAGATCCCAGCCCCAGTACAGTGCATTTCCATCCACAGCACACTAATCACAAACAACTTTTTGACAGATGGCTGATGGCCAGCCAGATGCTTGCTAGGTTCAGGCAGATGTTTCCCAGTACACAACACAGAACTGCTTCACACAGTAAGTAGGACAAAGCAAGGCGTCTAACACGGCCACAGCAGTTCTCACAGGCGCCTTGCTGATAGCCAGGTGGGTAGCGCAAGTCACGTCACAGGGTGCCCACCTCCTGTCCCGCGGGACAGGTTCGGCACAGCTAAGGTGCCCTTTTCGCACTCCTGCACGTGGCACGGCGCTCCTCGCGTCCCGTGCGCTCAGGTGACAGCGCGGCACACGCCACTCGCCGGTACACTCTCAAAACAACCGATCGTTACACTTCGTCCCGCCGTTCGGTCCCTGGGGAGCAGCCACAGTGCAAGCAAAACGCGAGAGAGAGAGCGATGCGTCCGCCGCCACCACATTTCCGTTCACAGCAAGCTAATTCCGGCCACACAGATACGCCCATCAAACAACCACTGGCCCCCTGCGTATGGCTGTGCAGCCTCCCGTCACACCCGCTGGCCCCTTCGTCCAGTTCTTTACAGTACATTGTCCCCCTTCAGCCCTTTTCCCCCCGCCCACGTGACAATCCCGTGCACCGGTCCCCACCGGATCACCTCACTCCCCGCGAGGCGCACCCTCGCTCCTGCCCCCGCGCCCGCGACACTCGCCGCTCGCCGGCCGCCGCGCCGGCTCAGAACCCCATGGGCTCCTCCTTCACGGAGGGCCCCGCCACCTCCGCCCAATCCTCGCCGATCGCGTCGGTCACATCGGCGCCTACGACCCCGCCTTCCTCGCCGCCCGCGCCATCGTCCCAAGGCCCGCCATGGCCCGCCTCTTCACCGCCAATGCCCTCCATCAAGTCGTCCTCGCCCTTCGAAACCAACGCGCCTCGCTCCGCCACACTCCGCGCGACCAAAGAACCGCCGGGCGCAGCTTCATCCTCGCCGAAGCCGGCGCCATCTCGCGCCAGCTCCTCCGAATGCTCCGCCCCGACCCGCCTCTCCGGCGGCACCATGGCGCGCAAGAACTCGCCGTCCATGGGCGGCCGAGGCGCGCCACCGCTGCGCCTCCCAAGCGCGGCCATCCAGGCTGCGCAATGCCGTCCGCGCGGCCTCCATGGCCGCCTCGAAGCGCGCGGCGCCCCCGCCGATCCCGCCGTGCGGATGGCGCAGCGCGGCGGTCGCTGCCGCTCGCGCCCCGTGCGCGGCACTCCCCGTCATGCGCCGCGCCCGCCTCCGGGCCTGTGCGCCTCCTTCGAGCGCGGGGGGGAGGTCCTTGGCGCGCCCACGGGGCTGCGCCTCGCGCCGATGCGACTGGCGTCCAGTCAATCCTCCGCCGGTCCGCCATACGGCACACCAGGACGCCGAAGATACTAAGTACTATCCCCCGAAATAAAATACAATAACGCGAGACTACAGCACTTTTCCAGTGCTGTGCCTAAAGTACACGTTTTATCAAAGTGAATCAGCTCCTTCTTCAGGAGCTGTTTGGCAGCGTGCAAGTCCCTTTTTCAGGGACCAATCATTCACCACTCCCAAACAAATGCAATACATGCTTTTTCAACATGTTCTACCCCAAACCAATTCTCAAAATCAGTTCAGGGAACACAGTTTCTTCTCCAGAAACTGCCATACACCTTCCCATAATCTCACAGCTCCTTCTTCAGGAGCTGTTGGACGATTGCACATATCCCGTTTGCAGGGATTCAATCATGCCCCTATTGCATTCAGATGCAAAACATGCTTTTCCAGCATATCCCCTCAAACGAGTCTTGAACTTCAGTTTCTTATTCAGAAACTGATCCTGCAGCTCTCCACAGTCTCAAAACTCCTTTTTCAGGAGCAGCACCGCTTTTTCAGCGGTAAACACTCAAACATGTTGTCCACTTTCAAGGACAACACCACTTCTCCAGTGGCAGTCAGAAACAACCACTTTTTCAGTGGTATACATTCACCATTCCCGTCAAATTTCACAGGCTGTCTCACTTTTTCAGTGGCAACCACGCATAAACACTTTTCCAGCGGTATGTACCAATCAAGGCTGCACTACTTGTATCATTGGCAGCACCACTTTTACAGTGGCAAGTAAATTTCGGCCACTTTCTCAGTGGCAAACATCATTTTGCATCAGGTCATGCACACCAAAAGGATGCACGAGCTGGAAAGTAGCATCAGCTCAGTGCCATGCTGGGGAAAGAGACATCCCAGCATGTTCCTTGAGGCACACGCCTGTAAATCGAGCGGCTGGGGGCACAGCCCCACAAACACACACTTGAGCGGCCCCATGGCTGGAAAGAATCATCAGCCACCAGGGCACCCTCTCATGCGCAGCCAGCCCAATCATGGGCACTCTGATCGATCCAAAACTCCTTGCTCAGGAGTCTTTCCTTTTCTTTGCCACTTATCCAGTGACTTTCCCACATTTTTCCGATCTTGTCACTTATTCGGCGACATTCAGGGCTGTCACTTGTTCAGCGACAAACTCAGCGTTTCGGGACAACCGAAGAGTAGGCAGGCTGGGCAACACACCAGCACATCCCCATGTTGAGGCAAGACACATCTCAACATGTTTCTTGGGGCCCAAACGACTGAAGAATACGGTCCAGAGCACAGCTCTAGGACCATTAGTTCAGACCCTACCCATAGCTGGAAAGAGACATCAGCATATGGGGATTGGATCTGTACCAAAATGATGTGATGAAACGGCCGGCGGCACAGCCAGCCCGTACATTCTCTCCACAACAATATTTCAGCTGTGGGTGATGGATGAACAAGTAAACACATGCAGCCCTTGCATGGGGTAGTCCACCCTGGAAAGAACCATCAGGTGTGGGCCCACACTTTTGGTCGTGCATGGCTTCTTTCTAGCCTTCTTCAGGCCAGCCACCCCTTAGCCTTGCGCAATCGGCCTCGAGGCTGGACACACGCCCAAACTGGGCGGTATCCTTATTCAGGACACATAGCCCCACCAGATATTGAGAGCCGCGGTCAATACCGGTGAGGCAGCTTTCACGGAAATACTCTTGCAGCGTAGGGTATCGCTCAGTCGTCACCAAGCGCCCCTTGAGGCAATACTCCTCTCAACTTTCATGACCAGCTTGCCATACTACAAAAAGCGCAAGCTCTTGACCAGTTTTTGTTTTTGTTTTTGCTTTTTTCTCTTTCTAGTCGGTGGTGGCCTACTCGGGCCATCCCACACAGTCAGCATACGTGTCAGACATGAGTCCCTCGCCAGCTGAGTCATAAGTGACTCACCCAGTGAAACGGTGGTCATTATCCAGCTGCGCGAACATGGGCACTCCCACGCTTCTAACTGCGAGAACTCCGAACAAAACTACACCGCTCACCACCACTGATTGCTAGCCCCACACGACCAGCCTAGCACACGCCTGATCCTTTTTGTTTCTTTTCCTTTTTTTTTTTTAGACTCCACACCCAAACATCAAGGGTAGGGCATCATAAAGTTCTCATGAAACACCATGATCGGCTTCCTCCCGGGCTTCCCCGGACGAGCCATCATCTCAGTACGCCACAGGTGACCATCCTTTTCTTCCAGAATACGGAGTGGTCCCAACCATCTAGGCACCAGCTTGTTCCTCCTGATCCTGTCCCTAGCATGGTTGTATCCCCAAACAAGGTCACCCACGGCATACTTTTTGGGAAAGATTCGCAGGGTTTTGTTCCGGGCCTCACGTTTCTTGACTGAGGCCTCATGGGCTTCCCGCCTCATGAGCTCAGTGCCTCGCCACAGATCGTGAGCAATCTGCCCAGTAGTATGGTGAACCGCAGAGTTAATGCTTTCCACAGCAGGCTCCAAATGACTGAGCCAGTCACGGCCTCTGGCTAGCACAAACTTGCGCAGTCTGTCCACCACAGTCCTGTTCATCTTCTCCACCAATCCCAAACTCTGGTGGCTGTAAGGAGCAATATACACATGCTGCACACCATGCTCCTCACACCAATCCTCAACTTCCTTAGAGCGATAGGTTGGACCATTGTCTGTCACTAGCACCGAAATATCCCCATGTTCCTGGATCCAAAGATCCAGGCCAAGGAGGGCCCCAGCCGAATCAGTCGACTGCAGAGCGGTGGCCCCATACATCCGCGTCGC